CTGGCCTCTAAATCTATGGACACAGTGCATGCAGGGAGAGTCCTAAGGTCAACTGAGAGTCTGAGAGCAAGTGAGATGGACACGGGGCGGCTGCAGTATGATGATGGTCTGGGAAGACCGAGGTTTGTCAGGAGAGGGCACAGAAAGGGCCTACTTTACTCAGTCATAAGGGCAATGTGGATCTGGTGCTCACTGGATTCTGCAGTACTGGAATTAGAGGCCATCGATGAGTCCAGTAGATTGGTTTGAAACAGATAAAAGGGACTTCATGTGAGGCAGGGAGGGAGAATGAACTTCTGGAACCTGCTGCCACAGGAGGCTGTAGAAACAAATGGGGTCAGCAGGTTTATAAAGGGATGAGCAAATTCATGAACAACAGGTCAACAAACAGATGCTGAAGGCAACGTGCAGGAACTTATTCTCTGAAATCATTTACTACTGCTGCAGGTGTTGGAGGAGCACAACCTAAAATGGCGAGGCTTCTGTGCTCTCCCCAGTGCCATCTCCTATTGCTGAGCACAGCACTGAGTGAGATGATCCAACCATCAGATCCAGCAGAGCTTATGTTCTCTGTGTCAACATCCCTAAGCACATTCAGATCATCTCAGGTGGCTGGTGTGTGGTAGGAAGATAGGCGACTGGCAGGAAGAAGTGTCTGCATTTCCATTCCATATTGAGAATCGGATCAATCCTTAGTGGACAACGTCCAGCAGGCCTGACACAAAAGGTTTCTTCATTGAAAAGGGTTACTGGTGGTACAGTCACAGTGGAAACCTGGCTGGATCTGATGACCAAAACACACATGGTCAGCCACACAAACAAAGTGGGGAAAAACTGTGAGGGAGCTGTGGTAAACTTCTGCTGTTCGGTTGATGAATGGCTCCCATGCAGCAGTGACAGCCTGGAGAAGGAATTTGTGGCCAATGTCAAACTACTGCAGGTCTGCTCTACCTCCTGTCAGCTGTAAAACGCAAGGCCTGGGTTCTGCCATGGGTATCTCCAGCAGCAAGGGGTTCAGCATGCTTCATGCCTTCTTGGTCAAAGGGAACTCACGGAATGGGATTTGGACAGGTCAGCTTGGAGGGTGATGAGCAAAAAGTTTTCCTAAGATATTGTTTATGGCATTAAACTTTTTGTGATGGCAACAAAGCACAGACAGTGTTTAAGTTCTGATAAGGCTTATTTTTATCATCCCTGTTCTCTCTACAGACTCATGCAGCTGATGCTTGATGTGGCTGCTCCACTGGGAGCAGTCTCTGCTTTCAGGAAAGGAAGGAGAGAAAATACTTTAAGTCCTCCATCAAAACTGACATTATGGTGAAGGAATACTGAGCACACAGGGACATGACAAAAGACCAAGACGAAAAATCACAAGGGTCTTAAAGCCCAAAAAGAAAATATCCCCTGAGGAAGGTGTTGACGCAGCAGGGACAGGAAAAGTACTCACAGAAGAGAGAAAATAGAGTCAGCCTTCACTAAAATGTCATTTTTTATAAGGGACTTAACACTTAAGGAAGGTAGATAGGTCCTGAAAAGAGTGGATTAAAGTATAGTGCAATCATTTCAGTGTTTCCAGACTGCCTGAAAAAAATTCCCCTTTACCTCAGCGACTGATTGAAGCCATTTCACTCCATCAGAATCTTTGAGAAATGGTGGAGGGTGATGGCGTTGCAGAATAAGACAATAAGGTCTATTCTTATTAGCAGGGCAAAAAGTGGAAACCAGGGAACTATAAGGCAGTCAACTTCAATTCACAACTAACAGTGGGACATTTAATCGAAGTAAGAGATGAGTAATAAGCGTTGCTACTGCCAAGAATGAATCATTTCAGATGAGTCTGTTTTCCTTCTGTGACAGATTCCAGTTCTTGGTTCAACATCATTATTCACTGTTCCTTCATCAATAACTTATGTGTTGTAATAGAGAATACACTTATTAAAATCTCGGATGGGTCTGAGCTGGAAGGGCTGTGAGCAACCCAAAGCATTGGGTTAAAAATGGTTTGGATGTATCAGTGAGAGCAGTTGAATATGGAAAGGCTGACATTTAGGAAGGAAAAACTGTCCAAACCTAAGGCAAACAAGCTGCTTAGACAGGATTTTTTCAGCAAAAGACCTATAGGTTGCTATTTTTTTTTGCTATCGGCCTGCTGAATGCCAGTGTCAGATGAAAACACAGAAGAACCTTTCGTAAACATGTGATGTTCTCCCTCATCTCTCTAGCAAGAAGATCTCTCAACTGGTATATTGCAGTTGGCTTTCAGGAAGAAAATTCTGTGTTTTCCCACTGCTTCTTTGCTAACTGAGGAAGTACATTTTGAATGGGAAATTCTTGCTAAACTCCTCTAAGATGCTTGCCTTCTTCCACAAGTACATATCACTGTGTCCCTTTCCAGGAAGCACTCTCTCCATTGCCAGCTGTATCCTGGGCTGCATCAGGGGGGTGGGGGTGGCAGCAGGACGGGGAGGGGACTGTCCCCTTCTCCTCTGCCCTCTGAGCCCCCACTGCAGTGCTGCATCCTCGGGCCCAGCGCAGGAAGGATATGGAGATGTTGGAGTGTGACCAGAGGAGACCATGAGGATGGGGCTGGAGCACCTCTGCTGTGAAGAAGGGTTGACAGAGCTGACTTGTTCACCCTGGAGAAGGGTCCAGCGAGATCTCATTGCTGCCTTCCAGTACATAAAGGGAGCAGATGAACAGAAGAGAGATCGACTTTTTACACAGGTAGATAGTGATAGGACAAGAGGGAATGGTTTTAAACTAAACGAGGAGAGATTTAGGTGAGATGTGAGGAGGAAATCTTTCACTTAGAGGGCGGTGAGGCTCTGGCACTGCTGCTCGGAGCTGTGAGTGCCTGATCCCTGGATGTGCCCAAGGCCATGGAGGGTCCCTGGGCAGCCTGAGCTAGTGGGGGCAGCCAGCCCACAGCAGGGTGGAGCTGGGGGCTCTAAGGTTCCTTCCAACCCAACCATTCTGTGATTCTATGATTCTGTGATTTCTGACTGTAGGAAGAGGGTGAGGAGCCTGTTCCTACACCATGCCCAGACTGCACACCTGCCAGCTGGCAGTGCAGACCCTCCTGCTCCTTAGTCAACATGGGGTTCCATGCACCCCTCCAAGCCAGCATCAGCACCCCAAGGAGCTTGGGACCCGATGAAAGCCCATCCTGGCCAAGGCTGGGGGCTCCAATTCAAAGCTGAGCTGTCTGGCTGGCTCTGATAAAGGCAACACGGCTTGAGGCCTCCATCTTGTGGCAGCAGGGACAAGTAGCTGGGACAAAACACACAGCTGTTTGCAGCACAGTGTTTTTTAGCCAGACAGCCAAGACGCTGCTCGCTGCCTCCTCCAAAATACTGCCCCTGCTGAGTCCTACCTGAGGTCACAACAAGGTGTGAGAGCAACTGGAGGCAGAGGTCTGGCAGAGGCAGCAGGGACAACAGCCAAACCTGGCACACATCATCCGCCTGCACTGCTCCTGACACTTTTCTATTAATGCACACACACATGGATATGCTCCATGTGTGCTTCCCACTGCTTGCTCCAGCTCCAGGCTGGAGAACATGCATTCCTTTACATGCAGCTTTGCCCCACTTGTGCAAGCACTGCCTTTGCCACGCTCCAGACTGCAAGGATCCCCTGCAGCAGGGTTTGAAGCAGCCAGATCAATGCAGGATTTGGCACTGGCTCTTACCAGTGCTTGACAAACCAGTTCCCAGTGCCATGTATGCCCTGCCTGCACTGTGCCTCTGCTCCCTGTTCTCCCTGTTCTCCCCAGGAGCAGAGGCTCTCTGCTGTGGAGGGCAATGCCCATAGATGTGTCTGGATGGTGTGAGGTAGAAGGGAAAATTGGAGCATGGCCTTGTGGAGTTGTGGCACCTGAAGCTGTTGCTTTGTAGGAGGAATCTTTGAGGGCTGGAGGCTCTCTGAAGTCACCTGTGGTCCCTGATGGTCACTGGAGACTGTAGAACTGGGGCAAGTGTCCATCCTTCCATCTAGACCCATTTGTGTGGTACGTGTGACAAGGAATGAGGGGACCTGTGGTAACCCCAGTCTGGCTTCATGCTGTGTTTTGCTGTGCTTGCCACCCTGGGGCTTTCTCAAACCTCCATCTCTGCACTGAGATCCCTGGCAGGGACAAGCTGCAGTTACTCAGCACCTGGCAGGTTTTACCCCCCCGAGGCTATCTTCTGTCCATGTCCCTCACCACACCCGTGGGCTGGAGGAGAGCCCATGCAGCTCTTTATCAGCCACCTGCAGACCCCACTGGCTATGGCCGTCCCCAGCCCTGCTGCTGGCTGTGATAAGAGCCAGGGCCCGCACACAGCACCCAGCACCGCTTCACCACCTGCCCTGATGAGGCTCACAGCCCAAAGAGCAGGAACTGAGCCCCAGGTACTGATGGTTCTTGTTGGAGTCTTCCCCAGCCTGTCTGCCTACTCGGTGCGCCCTGGGACCCCCACAAGTGGCATGTAGCAAGGTGTTAGGAGATGGAAGCAGAGAAGTCCTATGAGGGCCACAGTCCGTAGGCACACACAGAAAGCTGCCCCAGTGCAGAAGGTCCTCGGCATGTCCTTTCTATGTCACCACACAGACAGTGACAGATGCAGGGAACTGTTCCCCACCACCTCCTGCAAGCCCTTGGAGAATGAGATCTGTTTCCCTACGGTTTGGGCTTTGTGGGGTAAGGAGTGCATGGGATCCCAGCGTGGGTATGTGGCTTAGCTGGGGAGCTCAGGATGGGCTGGAGACCTCAAGAATCACTCTCCATAAAGCTTCCCCATCCACTTGCACCTGTAAGAGCTCTACTCATGCCTACAGACAGCAGAAACACATCTGTCTTCTGGGCACACCACTCAAACACCACCAAACACCACCACCTGAGCCCATATTCTCTGCACATCCACCTGGCCCGGGGGCTCCCAATTCAGCTGCATGGAGTCCCAGAGCAGATCCCTCCCGCTCCCTCCCCACAGGCAGCAACGAGAGCAGGACACCAGGGCTGGAGCACAAATGCAACAGATTTTATTTCATCTCATTTGGCTGCTCGCTGTTGGAAGGCTGGCGATGGGTTGGCCCCAGCTCTAGCTGCCACGCTGTCTTAACGGTACTTGGCAGTCAGCACGCTGCCCACAGCGCACAAGAACTTGTCCAGGGAAGCATGGACCTCTGGGGTCAGGGCAGCAGGGTGGTGGATGGCCACCACCACCAGGAAGCATTGTCCCAGGAGCTGCAAGGCAAAAGGAGAAGGTGAGCGAGAGGGTGAGGCAAAGGGTGGCTGCATGGCCCAAGAGAGGGCTGGGGTGGGGGCAGGGTGGGTCAGCCCTTCCCAGATACTTACTTTGAAGTTGACAGGGTCCACGCGCAGCTTCTGGGCATGGAGGTCGCTGAGCTTGGAGAGAGTGCCTGCGATGTCATCAATATGGTTGGCAGCCTCGATCAGGGCACCCACTACCTTCTTGCCGTGCCCCTTGATCTGAGCAGAGCCGTGTGACAGATCAAAGTGGGGGAAGTAGGTCTTGGTCGGGGGGTAGGTGGTGAACATCCTGTGGAGCACAGTGAGTCAGGGCCAGCAGGGCAGAAAGGGAGGGGGACAGGTTAGACAGGGAGGGATAGGACACGGACAAATGAGGACAGGAAGAGGATCAGCGACAGATGGGAGAGAGGCAGCCGGAGGACAGAGAAGTACACCTACCTCTCCAGGGTCTCGGCGCCATACTCATCAGCATGGCTGCCGATTTTGGAGAAGATGCCCTTGACGTTGTTCTTGTCAGCAGCGGACAGCACCATGGTTGCACCTCCGCGTTGGCAGCCCCCAGCACGGGTGCTCCTCCAGTCTGCTGTCAGCCTTATATGCTGTGTTGGTCACTGCCCGCCCCCCAGCCCGCCCCATAGATTCTGGACCCCAGCCAGGCAGGGCTGCTGCCCTGCCCCACCCACGATACTGCACAGGCTGGGGGGGGGTTGGATCCTGGCACGAACTTGGGCTCGGTGTTAGGGTTGGGGCAATGTGATGTTGGCATGATCTGGATTTAGGGTTAGGATTAGGGTTAGTGTCTGCATCAGCATGGGTTGAGGTTAGGGTCTGCCATGGAGCGGGTGGAGCAGTCGGTCTCCAGTACCCTGGCATGGAGTTAGGGCTGAGGTGCCTACGAGGGGTCCCTGAGGAGGCCAGAAAGGATGTGTTCTGCTCAGGAGGAGCAGGCAGAGTGAAGGGGACAGAAATATGGGGGCTGCAGGCTCAGGAGCACTGTGGAAGTCTGTGCCTCAAGGAGCTGCTCCTGTGATGCAGACTGACCTCTCCAGCACAGCCCTTGCATGCATGCAAACTGCCCCAGTACATGCACTGTCCCTACACACACCACTCTGCAATGTAGCCCCTACACACACACCACCACTCTTTCTCACTGCACCTTCTGCTCATTTCTCCTGCACTCCTCACACCAGTGCACCCCAATGCATCCTCATGTCTTTCTCCCTGACCGCAGTTTGCATCCCTTTGCAAACAGACCCCAGAGCTCCCTTTGTCCCAGCCCTTGCTGCTATGGGGGCTTGGGGTGACCCTGACTGCTGGAAATGGGGCACTCAGAAGAGCTACAGGGTCAGATCCTGATGCAGGCACTGTCCTGCAGCCACAGGAGCTCGCAACAGGGGAAGAGGGGAATGTATGGCCATAACGACCCCCGGTGAGCTCTGCATGTCGCAAATGATGAAGATGAGGAGGAAGGTGAGGAGGGTGAGGAAGATAAGGAGGGCTGGGAAGGTGAAAAAGGTTGCAGCGGTTCCAATAGGTTTGAGAGCTGGCATGGGGGGGGGACAGTTTACACCCGTTTCCTCTATTTCCAGCGGTTCTTATCATTTGTGTTTGGGGGAGATTAGCTTGGCCTGGCACCATATCAGAGCACAGGAGGAGGGGAAGAGTGGAGGAGGGGGACTGCTCTTCTGGGAAGCAGAAGGAGGGGAGGCTGTGTGTTTGCTGCCCATGCACACGTCAGTGGGGCAAACTGCAAAGGCAGAAGAGCTCCTCCAACTGAGGGCACAGGAATAACTGGGTGGAAGTGAACACAGATGTGCTGAGATGTAGGTAGTGCTTTGAAGTATGGAGGAAAAGCACTGCATTTGGAAGTGTGCTCACAGGAACGGGGTATAGCTTTGGTACTCCCTATCAAAGCAGGTGCTGATTTCCTGGTGCAGCTTCCCTTAATCCTCACAAACCCCAATTTTCTCCACTGGTCACAATGCAGAGCAAACCCAGGGCTAGTTTACTATCTTATGACCCACCATCTCCTTCAGGTCTAAAGCCAGTGATGTAAAAGCAGCAGCCTTGTATTGGACTACAGCTCTGCCTGTGACATTTCCAGCCTCTCCAGATGGCACGGGAAAAGCAGGCACCCAGGGCACAAGTGGAGGGGCTCTTCCCAGGCAATTGCTAGAGAGTTGTGGCTTAGGGGCTATGAATTGTGTTTGTACTTCATAGTTCACAGTAGATTTTTTTCACTCAGTGAACTCGTCTAGTTGCCCACAAAATTCATGCAGGCATTAAGCTCCCACAGCATTCCCAGTGAAGTCCTGAACAGCCATGGTGATAGAGCCAGGAGAGGTCAATCCTTCCCCTATGGAAAATTGTTCAAGGTGTTCAAAGAAACAAATTTGGCTTCACCCACCCCAAGCAGGTTTGCAGACATGGGAAGGTGCAGGCTGAGCTCCGTCCACAGAGTCCTGCTACCAGCTTCAGGATCACGTTTAACCAAGCAGGCCCCATGCCAGACCTGGAGGAAGGAGCTTCCTTCCTCCCTCCCTCCCTCCCTCCCTCCCTCCCTCAGGGTGCAGGGAAGCACTGAGTGTACCCCAGCCCACCCTGGACCCCTATGCCCTTTCCCCAGCCCCAGCACACATGGACACAGTGCTGCAGCAATGGTGTCTTTATTGAAGACTTGAAGTTGCAGACGATGGTTCATCTGTACTTCTCAGCCAGCACAGCAGACACGGCAGACAGGAACTTGTCGAAGGCAGCATGCACCTCTGGGGTGTAGTCTTTGCCCAAGTGTGCAGCCAGCACCACCTGGATGCACTGCGACAACAACTGCAAGGCAAACAGAGGCTCAGTACCCTTGCTCTGGATGGAGGGCTCTCAGCCCCAGTCTGTCTCCCATCCTGGCCCTGCCACCACCCCTGGCCTCCAGCTCCTGGCTCCCAGGATCCCAGCTCCCAGGAAACTCATCACACTCAGACCTCAAGACCCCAAGGCTCCAGGACTCCTGACTCAAGGACTGCCTGATCGCAGGACCCCTTTACCCCAGGACCTCCTGGTCCCAAGACCTCCAAGATCCCAAGACCCCTGACCGCAGCACCCCAGGACCCCCAGACCCAAGCCTCTGCTCACCTTGAAGTTGACGGGGTCAACACGCAGGTTGTAGGCATGCAGATTGCTAAGCTCAGACATGGCCTGGCTGAGGTTGTCCATGTTCTTCACGGCGTTGCCCAGGGCACCCAAAACCTTCTTGCCATGGCCACGGATCTGGTCAGAGCCGGACGAAAGGTCGAAGTGAGGGAAGTAGGTCTTGGTCTGGGGATAGGCGGTGAACATCCTGCCGGAACGAGGCTGGTCATTCTGCTGCCCCGCAGCTCCCCCTGGCCCAGCCCGCACACCCCAGGATCTGGTCCGCACCCCTTGGCTCCCCCTCCCCCATTCCCACCCCACCAGGTGCTCCTGGGCCTGGCTCGCACCTAAGTAGAGCCTCAGCTCCGAATTCCTCCTGGTGAGAAGCGGCCTTCTCCCAGGCCTGCTGGATGAGCTTCTTGTCCTCGGCAGTCAGCATGGTGGCAGCTGGTGGGGTGGGCTGGTGGCTGATGGCAGTGCGTGGTGGAGGAGTCTGAGGGCCGACCTCTTATAGCTCCCTGCACACCCGCCCCAGCCTTATCTTATCCACACGGCGGGGCCGGGGCTGTGCAGCGCTGGGAGCAGGGAGCGGCGGTGCTTCGGGGGGCCCTGACGCCCACAGAGGGGGCCCTGAGGGGGCCCTGCTGCCCTGCCCTGTCCTACCCTGCCCTGCCCTGCTCTGCCAGCTGGGTTGGCCCTCTGCACTTCATGCAGAGGGGATCCCAGGCAGCCCCTCGCCAGGCTGGGGGAAGGCATGCATCAGGGCTGCACCCTGTAGTTGGCAGCTACTGTCCTGTGGATGCTGCAACCTCGGCCTTGTGCTGCTTGGCGCTCCTGTCAGCATGCACCCTTCTTCCCTCGCCCAGAGCCTGCGTGGCTTCTTGTTCCCCAGGCCATGCTATCCTCCAGCCTCTGACATCCAGCCCTCTCCACAGAGCCCCAGGGCCTGTTCCCCTCCCATGCCACCTTTGTGCTCCCATCATCTGTCTGCAGCAGCCTAGAGAAACCTGGGTGAGGAAGAACCTCCTTTCTTGGCACCTGGTCTTTCCAAAGTCCGTACCTGCTTGCTCATCATCCTTGCCTTGTTCCCATCCCACTGTGTGCTCCTGCCGCTCTCCCACAGGACATCCCATAGGGCATGCAGCGGTTGGGGACTGTCATATCCTTCATTGAGCCTCTGCATGAAATCACTGATACAAATCTGGGCTTAGGGATGTACCCCACGCTGACCTACAATGTAAATTGTTGATCTAAACGTTCAGGTTACCCAGAGACACACAAAGATAGGATGCTTTAAAAACTTACTGCTCACAGAAGGTGCCCTGGTCAACATCAGCAGATTTAGAGCAGCTCAGTGGTTTAAAAGTTCTGCATCTTATCTCTGTTCTCCTTGCCCAAATACAGTGCTTATGTTTGGTGAACAAGATGAGCACTGCAGCTTGTAGTGCCAGTTCATGCTCATTTGCTTAGGGCTTTGCGCACATCTTTTCATGTCAAAAATCTTCTGAGACCTGCATGAGCAGTGAGTGAACTGAGCAGGGAGCTCAGTAAATGAAGCTGGAATCACTCTGCCCTTAGACACAGACCCATCCAGGTGCACTGGGTGATATCACAGTTATTCACCTGCCCACAACACATGGATCACTCAGGTGGAGAACACACCAACAAACAAAGGAGGGGCTTCTGAATTTCAAGCTGCTCTAACACTCCAGGTGTTTTTTGTGTGTGTGAAGAGGTGACGTGTACCACTGTAAAGTCTTGGAAATACTTTGGAAGAGAAAGCAAGGATGAAAACAAAGAAATTCACATAGGTTTTATCAGCTGGGAGCTGGGGTATTGGCCGAGAGGCATGGAAGGTCCATGCATTCCCGTGAGGGGAATGCCAAACACTGGGAATTTTGGTCCCTCAGATATCATCATTGATCTCCAGGGGCCATCAGTCTTCCCAAATTTCAACAGCAAGCAAAGTTCCCGATACAAATATAGGAAATGTCAAGCTGAGGGGAAGGTGTCTTTACCAAACAGGTGGGACTAAGCAGGTGTGATTGCCTAAGGTGTTCACCTTGCCCAGACCCATTGGAGAAGAGCACGCACAGTCAATAAGCAGCACTGCCCTGTGCAAATCATGCCATTTGGCAATGCAGCTGTTGTTCAGAACAGGCTGTGCTGGATTTTGGAGAGTCTAAACAAGAAGCCTGGGTCCATTCATTATTCTAGCAAGGTAAAAGAATATTTCCTGATCAGCTTTACATTTGGTTGACATAGCTTCTGAATTGTGGGCAGTAATAGTCACAGGGCTCTATCCTGTTCTGGGCTTCTGCTCAGCAGTATGTTATTCTCATTATGTACATGAACTTACACAGCTTAGTATTTTTCCCTCTGTATTATGTAGTGATTTCCAAACACGGTGCCAAGACACTAAGGTGGGGGTGGAACATGAAAGATGAAAGCACAGAGACCAAAGATCACAGTTGAATTATTTATTGTAGTCTGCAGATGGCTGAGCCCCTGCATAGGGCAGTTGAGGGGACTGCATAGGAAGAATACCCAGAACTTGGCAGCTGCTGTGTGCCATCGGTGCACGTCCCTAACACAGTGTGGAAGCCATTTATCTGTACTTCTCAGTCAGAACAGAGGAAACGCTGGACAGGAACTTGTCCCATGCAGCATGAACTTCTGGGGTGAAATCACTGGGATAGCGGGCAGCCACAGAGCACAGGATACAGTGGGAAAGCAGCTGAAAGGGAAAAAAAAAAGGTGAAATCCATTGTAATCAGTAACAGATGCCAACCTAAGAGTCTGCAGCGTGCTCTGGAATGAAAAAAATACCCAACCAGGGTAATGTCCCAACGATGTCCCAGCCAGGTAACAGATTAAACTGGACCAGATGGTTTGCTAGAAAATCCAGTCTCAGGTTAAAAATCAGCTGGGGAACCAGCAGCAACATAAGGCTGTACCACATAGTCAGGGATCAAGCTCCCATTAGTTTAAATGACCAGTGGCCTCTAGTTCTGTGGCTGGTAATTTTCATCCCTGAAGGTGTGCCTGCTCACCTTGAAGTTCACTGGGTCCACCCTAAGGATGTAAGCATGCAGCTCGCTCAGTTTGGCCAAAGCACCTCTAATGTCATCGATGTTCTTCACAGCTTCCCCAATGGCATTCAGGACCTTGGAGCCATGACCACGAAGCTGAACTGAGCCTTGGCTGAGATCAAAGTGAGGGAAGTAGGTTTTTGTCTGAGGGTAGCTGGCAAAAAGCCTGGAGGAGAACGAGACAACAAAGTTCAGCAGTGGAAAAGGCATGTCTGATCTGGCAAAGCCTCAGGACAAGTGCACTGCAAAGCTGCAGAAGTACACTCCTTCAAACTGCAGTAAGCTGAATGAATGGTTGGTGTGAGTGGTGCTGGAGTCCCAGCAGGAATCTCACAATATTTCAGGCTGACTGTAAATAGCATTTAAATAACTTTGAACAACAACATCTAATAAATGTGGACAGCTGTTCTCTTAATGTCCATTACATGGCAACTTAGGTGATAAATCAGTTTAAGTTCATTTCCTAGTAGTGATAACCCTATTTCAGGACACCGAGTATGAATGACTTTGAATTCCTCTTTAGGGCTCCTAGCTATGAATTCTCAATTACTATAATAGGAAGCAAGCCCATAGATGGTAAAAATATATTTTTTTTGCTGTAAAATTTTGAAGCCATCAGAATTTAGTAGCACAGGTGTGATTCCAGAAAAAAAAATCATATTAAATAACATACAGCTCATCAAGCAATTCTCATCAATCCTAACACGACTGCATGAATCTCACTCATGCAGCACTGAAGCAAGATGCATCCTAACAGCAAAGTCCGAGGAAGCACCCTGTGCTGCAGGTGACTTACCTCTCCAGTGATTCTGCCCCAATGGCATCAATCTGGGCAGCCACCTTTGCCCAGATGGTGGTCACGGCAGCCTTCTCAGCTTGGGTCAGCGTCATTTTGCAGGAGAGTGCTGGTTCAGGCTCCCTTCAGTGAACACCCAGAGCAGGTTGTACTAAGTGCCCTCGCAGCCCTGGTTATAAAGAGGAAGAGAAGAGCAGGCCTTGGCGTCTGTCCGCACTCATTGGTCACTCCAAAGGCCCACCCATGGAGGTGGGAGACCCTTATCTCCCCCTGAAACAAAGCCCATTTCGGTAAGGGTCAGTGCACTGGCCTCCTGGTTTGCTGGTGTTATCAGCTTCTTGCTTCTTAGCACGTACTGGCCGCGTGGCATGAAAAAGTTGACTGGGCGCATATGAACAGAGAGATAGAGGTGGAACATTCTAGTGATGGAGGATCAGGACGTGCCTTTAAGTGGATTTTGAGCAAACTAAAAAGCTTGGATAGTAATTTGTATTTGTCACCTTGCTTCAAACAGATGTGCACACAAGACTGGGTCTTTCTGGGCCATACCTCCAATACACACGGCCACTACATGGCCCAGTATTGCACATTCAGTACTTCTAGCACTAGGTAGTGCTAAGGACAGCTGGGATGTGTGCAGTATGGCTCGGGGGGGAGTGAGACCCTGATTCTAAGGAAAACAGTGGAGATTTTGGCACATGTTCCAGCACTGTCAGGCATTTACCGGCCTCTTGTGAAGAGTTAGGGACTGACTCCACTACTGGCATTGCTGATTACAGCACCATTAGTCATGATTCACATGGATACAGGGAGAGACAGCTTATGAAATCAAGCATAGTACTGAAAAGAAGCATGTTTATGGGAGAAAGCCCAGTCAGATGTGCACAGTTCCTCACCATCCACAGATCTCAAGTTGCTGAGTGCTTCCTGAGACAGTTGATATTGATATTTCCCAGCAGTTTGTTTCCTTAATCTGTAATTCCCTCTGATACAGATCTGAGCTGCATCAGTAAACACCCCATACTGCATCTCTTTGATTTGCAGCTGTGTGATTCTTACAGCCAGTTATCCCTTGTGCCTTGAAATAGCCCTCAGCACATCAGACAGTGCTGGTGTGCACTGTGCTGCATGCTGGGCATGCACACAAAGCCCAGTCCTGTGCTAGAAGGTTTGTGTCTTCAGTGCATGGACACATGTGATGGGTGAAGGGACAAATGAGTAAAGGAAAGGCCAGCATGGCTCTGTAATCACAGCTAAGTGGGCAAAGTATCCAGGAAATACCCAGCTGGAGATGGTTGCTACCAATGCTTGGGGAATGTTGTGTCAGCACACGAAGCAGAAGTGAGTCCACCCCACTGAACCTCAGAAGCAGTGCACGGCAAGCTGGTGGCATGGGCAGGTGTCAGATTTTGTTCTTTGCCCAACCAGCTCTGCATCTTGTGCTGAGCAGGTTGACGTGTATAAGCCAGATTCCTTCTCCAGATGTGTTTGTGTTTCACAGCACTACCAGCGGCTGCATGCAATGTGCTCCAGATGTGGCTGCCCTGCTGACAGGACAGGCACTAAGCTCTTTATACAGGAAAATGCTGTATTCAGTTTACATAGCTTAAATGGATGGAGGTATTGAGAGAAGCTGTATTCATCATCTCTAATTGCATGCATTTAAAAGACATGTGCAGTGTTCCAAATAGGAAAATACTTTGAAAATAATGCTGTTGTTGTCTTCTTCTGAAAGCGCTACCTCCGACATCGCCCACTGCATGGCTGTGCTCCAAGCTCTGCTGACAGTGCTTGAGGGAAGTCCCCGTGACTCAGATATAGCCAGGCAGATGCCAGCAATACTACTTGCTATTTTGCTGCCAGCTGTTTAACCTGAACAGCGATCCTCCACGACTGGAGGATTAATGTCAAAGTAGGCATGAAGATCAGAGTGATGCCTGCACCGGAGGCTTGTTGGTTGTACATGAACTACAAGCACTGAAATCTTTATTGAATTTGGATTCTTTTTCCAAGAGTTGCTCCTCACTATCACAAAAGTCAGAGCAGCCCAAAGGTGACAGTGGTTTGCTAGGAGGGGCTCACTGCTTGCCTAGGGTCAGAGTTGTGCTGGGGACAGCTTCAGGGGCTCTTCAGAAAGGAGCCTGGTGGGAGTAGAGTGATTTGCAGCCATGTGCAGCAATGTGACATGGAGAGTGATGAGTTGTCCTCTCTCAGCCAAGTTCCTTGCCCCACTGTTCCAGCTGCCCACAGGGTGCTGAGCCTTGGAGCTCCTGGCCCACGCAACTCAAGGAATTGGACAACACAGCCACTGTTGTTCCTCTGGTTGCAGGATTGATACATCCTCTGGGAAGCTGCTTCAAATGTGTATCTCCCTCTCTTTCTGTTGCTTTTCATATTTAGGCTTCATAAACCTACAGCATGAGTACAGGCTATATATCTTTGTTATGAAGCTGTGAAATGTCTCCAGAGCCTTGGGAAGGAGCAGCAGGCTGAGCTGGCATGTAGTCCTGCTGCACAGCAGCCTGGCTTTGGGGCTGCCTGTCCTGCCACGTCCTGCTCCTGCAGGAACAAAGCATGGAGCAAACACGAAAAGTGTTTTTTTGCACTAATGTAGGTCTTCTTTTCATCCTACTCCCAAAGCAGGGTGTCAATTAAAGTCAACAACAGACCTGTTTGATCACTATAAGTGGGGTTATAATTTCCAGCTCATTAAATAAGCGGTTGTACCTCTATGAGATGGGGTAACTCCCCATGGGCGTCTGTTCTGCACCGTCGCCTCTCTCTCAAGGGAATTTCAGCAGGTAACAGTGGCACACACATCTGCTCTACTGAAGAATTTGGGTGCATTAGGCTTTGGAAATCTTAAAAGCAGAATCTTTATCCTGGCTTTATTCTTTCATTTCCTACTAGCACTCAAAGAGCTTGCAGCTTTCTAGAGCTTTGCTTTAACTCATCTCCAAGAGCTGGAAGTGCCAAATATGCCTGCACTTTTTTTATTGAAGAATATAAAGTTATGCTTGGAAGCAGACACACTGGGAAATTCTAACGTAGCTGCCCAGCACTGGAGCACAATGAATGCTCTGCTGTGATAACGTGACTGCTCTTTAATCGCTCACCAACAACTCTCTCCCCTCAATGACAGCTTCTCTTGCTTCAATTGTTATCACCTGCCTGGCAGAGAATGGCTGTGCAGATTAAGCCCTCGCTGCGGGTGCTCATCTCCCTTTCAGTCCCCAACCACCCATCTCTGCCTGAAGTCCAAGGGAAGAATCTCGCAGAGAAAAACCCAGAGTGGGGATATCTCAGAGCATTCAAATATCTAAATATTGCTATCAAATATGGACGAACTTATGTGAAAAACCTGGGCCATCCTCTGACATAATTGCTGATAGTTTTCTGATCTTAGCTGGACACACAATAAGACAAATGAGCCAAAAGAGCTGCCAGGGGAATACAGTTTGTGGCACTTGCAGCTGGCCAGCAGCTTGTAGTTCTGGAGCTGTAATAATTGAACGATTCAAAGTGACCAAAGGAGATCTCAAGACATGAAAATAGTGAAGGGGTGTGTGGGCACATGGGAAGAGGTGGGAATGAACCTTGAGGCACCATGGGCACTGGAGAGGTGTGAGGTGCCAGGAGCACTGTGCATATGTGAGGTGCTGGAAGGCACTGGTGGTGCCAGGCTGATCTGGCGCACTGTGCATGGGCATGTGAGGTATTGATCCGAACACTGGGCTGATGGAGGGAGCACTGCTGGGTAGCGTGAGGTGCTGGGCCGAGCTGTAAGCCCTTGGCTGAAGTGGGAGTGCTGAGTGGGGTGTGAGAGGTGCCGGGCTGAACAGGGGGCACAAGGGCTCAGACATCTTCTGACTCTAAGGATTCTATGATTCTATATTGGCTGTCTGGAGGCACTGGGCTCCAACTTGGCATGCTGGGGGTCTGAATGTGAGATGCTGTGCTGCGCTGGGGGCACAAGGGCTCCAGTGTGATGTGCTGGGCTGAATGGGGGGACACAGGGAAGAGAGCCTACAAACAGGAGGGGAATCAACTCTTAGAAAGGGTAGATAACAGCAGGACCAGGGGTTGAGGGAGGGAGGATTTAGGTTGAATGTCTTTACAGAGAGAGTGGTGAGGTGCTGGAACAGCTGCCCAGAGAGGCTGTGGATGCCCCGTCCATCCCTGGAGGTGTTCAGGGCCAGGTTGGATGGGGCCCTGGGCAGCCTGGGCTGGTAATGAATGTGGAGGTTGGTGGCCCTGCGTGTGGCAGGGGGTTGGAGATTCATGATCCTTGAGGTCCCTTCCAACCCTGGCCATTCTGTGATTGTGTGAAACGTGAGACGCTGAGCTGTTGTGAGGACAAGAGGCTCCAACTTGACGCGCTGTGCCGCACTGGGAGCTCGGGGCTCAGCTGTGAGGTGCCGGGCTGCACTTCAGGCACACGTCTGCACTGCGAGGTGCCGGGAGGGACAAAGGGCACAAGGCCGAGGGCAGCCGCCGGGCACCCCGAGGCCGTGCGGGCCGCGCTGCGGGCACGGCGCCGAGCTGCGAGGCACGGGGCCGCACCGAGGGCGCCGTAGCGGCGGCCCGGGCCCTGAGCGCGGGCCGCCCGGGAACTCCGCGCCTGCAGCTCCGCCCCGCCGATCAGCCGCGGCTCGGGGGAACCGGCGGCGGCGGAGGCGCGGAAGCGGAAGTCGCGCGGGCCGGGCCGCTTTCCTGCCGAGCCGCGTCGTTGCCCGCCCGGTGCTCGCTGCGGCGCGGCGGCATGGGCGAGAGCACCAGCCCCATCAGCGTTATCCTTGTGAGCTCGGGCAGCCGCGGCAACAAGCTGCTCTTCCGCTTCCCCTTCCAGCGCGGCGCCGAGCACCCCGCCGCCCAGGCCAGTAAGTGCGCGCCGGGCCCGGGGCCGCTCCGTGCCGCGGGGCCGCGATCCGGCCCGGTGCCGGCGGCCCCTCCACGGCCTCCCTCGGCTGGCGTGGCACCCCGCTGTCAGGCGCAGGGTTTGTGCTTGGATGGTCCGAGGGTCGGACCGCATCCGTGACGGTCCCCTCCTACTCGAGTTGCTCTATGAGTTCTGTCCGTTCCGCACAGCCCTGCCTTGGGTCAGCAGTGACGGATGTGGAGCTGTGCCCACGTGTGCGGCCAGCCCTGGCGTTGGTGTCCTGCGCTTTGCAGTGTGCTGCTGAAAAGCCAGAGTGGGTTTGGGAGGGCTTAGCGTGGTCAGTGCTGTGGGATTACAGCATCACGGCTTGCAAACCTAACCTGTCGCCGGGCAGCGTTACAATCAGGTTTCGGTTTCAGTGTGAGTGTGGTGCCTAGGAACATTTAACAGTTCGGGAGAACACACCAAAGTGAGCACGTGTTGGGTGAGCCCTGTGTGTGATCTGGGGCTATTAACCAGGGATGAGGTTGTTTCCCATGTTTTCCAGCTGCCATATGTCACAGAATCACAGTCATAGAATCATCTGAATTGGGATGGACTTTTAAAGGCCTTACGGTCCGACTCCCCCAAAATGAACAGGGACACCCACAGCTCCATCAGTGCTCAGCGTTCACCCAGCCTGACACTGTCTCCAGGAGCAGGGCACCCACCACCTCTCTGGGCAATCTGTGCCAGTGCTTCTCCGCCCTTATTGCAAAGAACTTCCTCGCATCCAATCTGAATCTGCCCTCTTTTAGTTTGAAACCATTTTCCCTTGTCCTGTCACACCAGTCCCTGTATCTCGTGTGAGATTTAATGCCCCTTTTTAGATTGTGAGTCATCTTTCACTGAGGAATAATTATTTTTTAACCCCATTTTGTCCTTATAAGTAAAATCCAAAAAGATTATTGCTATTTACTGTCTGCTTCCCTCCTGCCGCTCCCCAGCTTTTTGTTGGTAAGATTTGGATATGTGTCACTGCAGAGGAGGCTTCTGGAACATCACTACTGTCCTGAAACATGAGCAAGAATGTGGATAATTAATGAGATGAATTTTTGATTTTCGCTTCCTTGAATTGCAAAATGGCTCTGCTAACATGAATTGTTCCCTGGTACTTGGCAGGAAAGTTGTTTCTTTGAATGCTTTTGTTTTCTCTATGTCCCTTGAAAATGTAAGCTTCTTGCTTCCGTTTGTTAATGTGTCTGAGTGGGAGCTGCAAAAACAAAACCAAGACCTTACTGTACGCTTCAGGAGATTGCTCCCTGAGAAAGCTGTCTTTATTCTTTGCCTCAGATAAACCACGGAGTCGATATGCGGTGAATAGCTCTGGTGATACCTCAGAGGACCAAGATGGGGACTCCAGGTAGGGAGAAAACAATTCTCCTCGTCTGACTTTAAAGCTGAGGAGGAGCTGGCCTCCTTTTTTCTTACTGCTAGTTCAGCAGGCAAACACTTGTAGTGCACAGATGACCTGCAGAGGGATATTGTAATGCTGAGTTAGGAGAAAATCAGTGTTTGATAGTAAGAAATGTCTAATGCTGGTGAGTCTGCTGTATTCCGGGCAAAGTGTAGCTCGGGTCAGCTGTGCTTGTTAGAAAGCCTGTGGTACTCTTTCAGAGCCAGGAGCATTGATCCTTTGGCTAAATTCCACTTTTCTCCACCTACCTACCTGTAACTGACTCTCTTACACAGTTGCCTCATGTTCTTCCTCAGCTTAACAGTGATACAGAATTGCTGTGCACTGCTGAGTAACTAACTTTGTTTCCGGGGATGTAGCTGCTTGTGTATTCATGAAGTGAAATAGTGGCTCAGGAGGGCTCTGAGACTTAGAAACTGAGTTTTTCAGCTGCAGGAAATTAGAGAGTAACAAAAGCACCGAGCAGAGGTGGTGCGTTGTTCAGCATGCACATACATAGACGTGGACCCTCTAACTGGTGTTGGGAGAAAACCTGAAATCTGCTGTGTTCTGAATCTATCATTATCAGATAGGAGACAAACTTGGGCCACAGTTCAGTTGTAGACTTTTTTTTTTTTTTTTTTTTTTTTTTTTTGTGGCATGTCTTTTAATTTCAGGTATTAATGCTGGAGTAGTTGCTGCTGTTCTCTGATATAAGAATGAAGAAGTTGTCTTTTAAGCAAAAGGCAGTTTAGATGCCAACCTTGCAAAATGTAAGCTGGTTCTTAAGTGTGACTAAGAATAGTTTCACTAAAGTTACAGCCATCCCTGGCAGTAAGTTCATTAAGTTCGTACATTTTTCCAGGACTGGCACCTTAGGAAAACAGTATAACAGAGGTATACAGTATAACACATCTTGCTTGAGGTCATTTGTGTCTATTACATCTGGTATTTTTGAAACCTTCCATTGCAGCGTTCTGTCTTGTCTCCATGGAACACAGTGTGGTACAGTGCAGAACTGAAGCAAGACCAAAATGTGTTTCTTAAGTTTGATATCTTTGAATGGCAGTTCAGACTGTCCACAGGACAGTGCCAGGTGTGCAGCCTGGGAGCACTCAGTGAGTGTTTGGTGGTTGTGATAATTTGACAAATTGTGGTCAGATGAGACAACTGCTCGTAGTCCAGTATTTTACTGAAAGTAGTTTCAAGTACTGAATGGTTGAGTGTCCTGACGTGCAGTCTGCCTTAAACAAGGAGATGGTTTTATTGTAGCAGTGTGCAGGAATCAGGGGCCGAGGGCCAGCACTCAGGTCTCTTGGGTCAGGTATTAGCTATTAAGCTTCTAGGGAGCTGAGTTCCCTCAGCACAAAGTATCAGTTTTGTGGCACACCACCGAGTGGATGTGGGCCGTTCTGAAGCACCGAGTGAAAGAATACCAAGACAGAAATCCCCCTCTGCAGTGATGGCCTTCAGAAAAAGCAGTTTCTGTTTGTGCAGTCTTACACAGCAGTACACACACCGATCCATCCTGCACTGTCTGCACCTGATGGTTATTGAGGTTACTGGAGCTTTTAAGCTCTATATTTGTGTACCTGATGTTGAGGTGTTTGCCAACACAGGTCTGTTATCAGGACGTGCCTTGGTATCATCCCCTATGGATGCAGGTACGGGGGTGGTGGGAGCAGCATCTTGTTGCTCTGAAGTATTAGTGCTGCTCACACAGCTGTGTGTCTGCACTCAGAAATTCAAAGCGTCTTTCAAAACTGCATTTGTTTCAGTTTTGTTTATGAAAAAACCTCTATCCCGTATTCCCAGTGCTGTGAATGCACTGAAAAAGCTATCTTCTCTCACAGGAATGTAGAAGGGAAGCTTGCAGGTGCATTTAATGCAACAGCTAAATATCCTTCTCTTCAGCAGTACCTGCTAGTAGAAGAAATTACCAGTGCTCATTATAAGTACTGATAAGTCACATCAGGCAAGAAGAAGTTTATCTTTTCAGTAGACTTAATGACATAGGTAGAAATAATATTCCAGCACTAGGTGCACAAGTGCACCTTCCATCAGGAAGCTATAAAGTCTCTTCAGGGCTGTGCACAGCAGGTGGCTCAGGTATGCATGAGACAAGTGGAGGTGTAACAGAGTTGGGACTGTGCAGAAGAACAGATCCTGGGAGTGAGCAGAGGCAGAGGGGCAATGGCTGGGGAGAGAGGGAGATACCTGTGGCTTGTAGTCATTGTGAGTGGACAAGGAAAAGAAGGAGCTTAAATATTATATGCCATAAAACCAGTGTTGTCAGTGAGCCAGTGGGATTCTGGCTGAGAAGCTGTATGATTTTTTTTCCCCTGGGCTCCAGGTTATTTTATGTTTCTATTGAAGGCAGGGGAGTGACCAGGTTTGTGAGAGCCCCTCCTGTCTCCCCATAGCAGTTCTGTCCTGGTGCAGCACAGAGCTGCAGCAGCACTCTCCTTGGAGCAGCAGTCCTCAGATTCATCAGCATGAAGTCCCATCCACGTGCTGCTGGTTTCGATTATCTGATTGGAGTTGTCCCACGTGAAAGTCATTTGTAAATCACTGTGTTATTTCTGGAAGGCTGCTTCAAAGAATGGTTGGCAAAAAGATGCCTTTAAATCACCACGTATCGGTAGTAGCTATGAATGTTTTTTGGCAGCATGAATCGGGGTTTTGGAGAGGGCAGATGCTAAGCTGAGCGGATGGTGTGTGGCAAGTTTGATAATGTTCTCATGTTTAGTAACAAAGGCTATTTCAGATCTATCTAGTCACTGCAATAGTTTGTGTGAAGGTTGGACCCATCCTGCTTTATACTGGATGACTGCCTTCAATTCACTGGCAATCTAGGATCAAATATGTCCTAGAGAACATTCAATATCACTTTTTTTCTAAGCTGTTAGAAGCCAGAATGGTTACTTTTGAGCTGATCTCTTGTGGAGCAGTTGAGCTGTAAGTATTTCTTTGTGGCTCCAGAAAATTACGTCAGTTTAGGTGCCGTAATTCTCCATTTCCATCTTTGCATGCGTAACTGGATTTCTTGAATCCTTCAGACATGAATTTCCTGCTGTTCATTATGCTTTCTGTTACTTAAAGAGAATTGCAGCCTGTTCATGAAGTCCTACCTCCAAGTGACTGGTGTATATTGGCAATATGATTTCTGTTCCACAGAGTTGTAACTGCAGGTCTTTTGAATATAGATCTTTTATTCCTCTCAAAAACAAGTCAAGCAGCACAAGTGGTCGAGGTGTGTTGGGGGTGGCCATGCAACAGAGAGGTGCTCAGAACAATCTGTCACTGCTGAAACGAATGACCTGTCAGTGACTCTCCATGCTGGCCTCTTCTCATACTTCCCTAATTTACTGTCTTCAAAAACATCCTTCAGATTTGAGTGCTATCCCAATAATATACACCCTTCAGAGCTATTGGAGATGCTTGCTATTCTCTTTTTTTCCTCCCAAAAATGTGAAGTTGTGCATTAGCTCTGTTGAAGCCAGAAGATAAAGCTTTGTTAAATTGGTTTTAAATGTCTTTGTTTTGGTGTTTTTTTTGAGGGGATACAGTAGCACAAATTCTAATGCAGATGCACATAAAGAAACCTGTTGCACCGGACGTTGCATTTTTCAGTAGCATAACTGACTTAACCAAAGAGATGTAGTAAGCTTTGCAGCACTGATGTCATCAATTGGCTAAATACTTTTGTTACAGAAACCCAAGCTACTGAAACAAAGGATGTCCCTTTCTAACAAACAGTCGTTCTCCTGTGGTAATGTTTCTATATCCTCTGTTCCCCTTTCACTGGAACCTCAGTGTTCTCCTTGTTATTTGTTCTGAAAGCTTTCCTTTCTGTAAGCCTCTTCCTTTCCGGTCACCCATCCATCCCTTTCTGTAATATCACCCTCTTTGTATAGTTTGTCCTCTAGGGTTGTTCTACCTTCTCAACATGACCAGTGGAAATCAGCTCTCTCCTGCATTAAATAATTGTTGGAGGTTTCCATCTGATCTCCCCTTTCTACAGTGGGCAGCGTGAAGCTTTTAAAGCCTTTTAAACCACCGGCGAAGCTCTAGGAAACAAACCGACTTTTGGAGTCTGCTCTAAGTCAGAGTGGAACCTCTGCTGTTATTCTGTTATTGTTTATGTGTTTGTTTGTCTGTTTTAAGGTAAGCTTGAGTTTAATGAGTGCAGTTCTGTAAGTGCAGCAGGTTGTGGGAACACATTGCCATAGCACTGCTGAGAGAATTGAAATGGCACCAAGCTCAGCCTGCACCACATCCCAGCACCTCACCTACCATTCACTTGTGCCTCTTCTCAATACTTACCGTTTTCTTTACAGGAGTTTAACTCTTAATAGATCCCCCTGGTTTTTAACATTCTCTTTTTCTCTTTTTCTTTTTGTATTTTATGTACCTGCGTCGTTTATTTTGTTTATGTTTTTGTTTGTGTTTATGGCCATGTTCCCATTTCAGAGACCAATGTCCTCTAACCGATGAACAATTGGTTTCAGGGTAAGACCAAATGTTCTCAACAACCACCTCTGTCTAGAATGACTTTCTTTTCTCACCATCCTGTCAATGTGCTTTGTTTCTGGTTTCTACTTTACACCAAATGATGAGGCAATTATGTGCTAAATCACAGTGTCTATAGGAAACTATTGCTAACAGTTAATGCTAGGATAATTACAGAGGTCCTACTAACACTTCTGTGCTTTCTGCAGGGCAACCAGAATGAGTGTGTACTGTCCCTAATGTGAACTGAGGAAAGTTGTGATCCTCCAAGAGTGCAAAAGAATAGCCTTAGCTTTGTAGTTATTCCAGCAAGGAGCCCTGAAGCAAATTGCCTTCTGACAAGCAGTGACCGAAAAGTGCAGATGAGTGACTGAACTATTTATAATCTCACAGTAATTATGCAGAGCTCGTTGCAGAGCTGTTTTTGAGCAGCTGCTCCTTCCTGATGCCCTTCTAAGCTGAACTGACAAGTGCATTACAGCCCTTCCTGAACGTGCAGAGGGAAAATGGCTTGTCTCTGCCAAGGGCCCACAAGTATTAAAATACATTTCTAGTCCTTGTGTAGCATAAAGATGGTCACCTAGATAGTCAGCTCTCCCCCTGCCCTACCTCCAATACAAATTCTTTGTAATTTGAAAATTTTAAAGAATTTTTGGATTTCTGTGGCACCTTAAAAATAGTTATCCACCCCTGGGGAAACACTGAAGTTCTGTTTGAGATCCTTTCCCCCTCTTGTCTGCATGCTAAGGCAAAGGCGCTGTTGTTTCAGCTGTGTCAGTTCCAGAGGAGGTGCTGGTGGCAGCAGGCAGCCTGCATTGGCTGCTTTATTGTCTGAGATCAAGTGATGGCAGTGACATATCTGCTGTCCCTCAATCTCCCTGTCATCCAGTGGCCTGAGAAATGAGTAAATCACGTGCAGTGGTTTTGGGGGGTGAGAGGTAGGATCAAACAACCAAACCAATGAATCCAGGCTGTCAGACCAGGAAAACGTATGGAGTCCAGGTTGCTCTGGAGGTGCCATCAGGTGGAACCCCTGCAAGCCATCCAGAGGGTTGTACATATCCTGAGCATGTCACCTGGCTGCTGTTGGAGCATTCTCCCAGAAGGAGGTTCCAGCCAGCAAGAAGATAGGAAAAGGTTTACAAAATTAACCTTTCAATCTGCTGCTCCCTACCGAGCCAAATGCAAAGTCATGCTGATGGTGAATGTCAGTGTCATGAGCTCTCCTGTGGAAATGCTGAAGTTTTTGGCACCACAGTTCTGCATGAAAGCAACTGTTGCTGTAATTCCATGTTGAAGTTAAATCTTAACAGTGGTGTAAGTCATCACAATGAAGTTTGGTTTTCCAGCTCCCAAGATGTCCTTTGCTGAGGGAAGGAAGTGACTCATTTCTTACCAGCAAGCAGGCACTTCCCAGTTTGCCCTCCTGCTTCCACTTAACAAAGCAGACGGTCACTTTGATCTCTTGCTTTACAGTCTGCCTGGCTCCACGAAGAGCCTGTTGACTGACACAGCTGAGCAGGACAGAAAGAACAGGGGAAGCTCACTGCTGTCTCTGTGACTTTCCTATTTCAAATGTGATCACCAGGGACTGCCAAGCCAGGCCCAGTCTGAAGAAGCATTACCTTCTCTTTACAAACTCCATGTGTTGTTCAACCCACCCCAGTGCTGCGGCTGAGGGGCATTGGCTCAGTGCCCCAGCAGCCTGTGGCCAGTCTCCCCTTGTCTCTGCTAGCCCTCAGCAGTGCTGGGCATCCTGTTTGGAGCAGAGCGGCCAGAGGTTTGGAAGTTTGTATGGAGCTGCCCCTTCCACTAGCCAACCATGGTCGGGATGACTTTATTGTGCAAGCATCAGAGGCTTTCACATCTCAAAGGGCCCTGTGTTATCCTACACCTTCAGTGTGTGTAGGTCTAGTGAAGAAATAGCCCCTGAATCATATGCAGGTGGATACCCCAAAAGACTTTTGTGTATATTTGTCCCTGTAATGCACTGTAACTCACTCAGAGAAAACCAGGAATGTGGTACATTGACTGCTTCTGTGGGCACTGAGGGCCTGCTTGTGGCCGGGAGATAAGGTGGCTGTGGAACACACCCGTGTCTGCCCTTTTCTCTGAGTGATACTGTGTTATCTGGGGTACCTGCGTGGTGGAGGGGGTGGTCAGACAGGGGAACACATCGTGAATGTAAATAAAGAAACTGAAATAAATATTGCCATGATTAAAATAGCTGGTCTCTTCAAAAGCTGGCTCGATATCCATTTGGTAAAATGGGAGTCTCAGAGACATCAGACAAGGAAAGAACATTGCTAATATCAAACCTCTCACCGCTCCCATCCTGCAATCATGAGCTGCCCCTGGCAGCTCAAGGAGGTCCCCTTTCCTAGGGATTTGAGCTCTGCTGTCTCAGGGGATGCCCTGAGGAAAAGGAGCATTTTGAAAGACCGGGCCAATATTGTAAAGTCATCAGAAAGTGGCTGCAGAATCCTTCCCTGTCACATAGCAGTTCTGACCCAGTTTTGCACCTGTGGATGTATTTCATTTGGCAGACTCCTTGTAGATACTTGCCTTCCTATTTCGTGGCTGTGTTCTTCCCACCACAATTCTGGAGCAGCGCAGTCCCACTGCAGCGAGGTGGGCACCAATGAGGACTCACTGCCATGACTTTGTCTTGGTTCAGTGCAGCACATGAGCCTGGGTGATGCCATGCAGCTCTCAGAAGGGTGCTGCTGGGCGTTTGGCTGCAGCCTGAGATCTGCTAAGTGAAGTAACTTTCATGAGGTTAGATTTGAATAGGAGGGACAAGCGTAGAATATTTATTTCTCTTATTTGAATCAGCTCTGTCTTGCCTTCCCCTCTGTCACAGTGGGTGGCTTAAAGGTCTTTGTGGTGCTTGAGTGACAGGCTGTTTTGGTATGTAGTTGCTTAGTAAGTTCATTAACCTGCAGCTAAATCCAGGCAATGGCTAACTCAAGCTGTTTTTTATATTTAAACAAACTGCATCTAATCTTTCCAATGTATTTTGCTGAGCATGTACTTAAATAAGCATGACCCTGCAGCCTTTGTCTTGAATGCTTCCTGTTTGATAATTGCGATGATCTGAGAGATATAATTAAGGGATTCTTAATTTTCCATAATTGGGGTTTGCAGGTACAGTAATTTGGACACAATTTACAATATTAAAAAAACTCACGAATTAAATGAATCTGCTTGGAGGAACATTCCAGTGGTGTGCTTGTTGAAAACTGTAGTAACTTCTCTTTCTGCTCTTCAAGGTTTTCAGATGTCATCCTGGCAACAATTTTGGCTACAAAGTCAGATATGTGTGGCAAGAAGTTTGAACTGAAGATTGATAATGTTCGCTTTGTTGGCCACCCTACGTTGCTTCAGCATGCCCTTGGGCAGGTATGGTAAGAGAGCTGCTTGCAGGCATGCTTTTTTTTCCAGTTGTGTATCTTAGTTAGGGGACTTAAAATTCAGAACGGATATGTTTTCTTTTGATCCTGCTTCTTCCTGATTTCTGATTCTTCACAGTGCTTGGAGCTGTCTGTATGTATTTCCAGGTAACCACAGCGAGTGGCAAACTGAGGAAGCTGTGTCAGTAGTTCCCAGAAAAGCCCATCTGGTTACTTAAGAAAAGCAGTGTGGATAAAGAGAAGTAGTAATGAACAGTCCACCCCAAAATCCATGTTTCTTATGATGCCAGTTGTTGCACGGTAGGGTTTTTGCACCTCCAATTAGCATGGCAGTAAGAAAAAAACAACCGAACAAAACAAAACCCTCACAGATGTTAGAAAGAGGTCTAAAATTTTCACATGGACAAATTTAGGCTGCTGTTTGTATTGAGACCTTGATCTGTGGCCTGTGTTTTATCCGATTGGAATGAAAGCAATTGCCACCCAGCTTATGGAAAAGGCCCTGCTTAACTCTAGGAAAGAATTTGCGTGGTTCTATATAGAAAATAATCCCTTTCCCATTCTTTCATCCTGACAGACCATGAAAATGAAGTAGGCCTGGTAATTTCTGAATACAACACTAATCTGTATCACTGAACTGCTTTCATCTCATTTTTCATCAAATTTACAAAACTGTTTGGTTTTTCAGGCAAAGATCTGCTTGCCAATTCTGTCATCCTTTCTATCTATAATTAGAGGTGCAAACAGATTGTTGGCAACTGCTGCTTGATATTTAGAGGATCGGATTGCTGTAGGACTGCTTTCATCCAAGTAAGAAGCTGGCATCAAGCATCAAAAGCTGCTGGTGTTCCACTTCCGAAACTCATTCGTGAGCCTACAGGAAATGTGACTGAATATCACTGAGGCTCAACCCTCAAATGTTTAAGATGCTTTGGAAGACAAAATTCAAGTGCCCCCAAGCTGTGCAAGTACTTCAGAAAGCCTAGTCTGTGCTTAGAACAACAGTGCCCACTTACCCTAGGGCACCAAAAGTGCTGGTGGGAGAAAGCTAGTTGGTCAGGTGTTGGGAAGCTGAAGCAGGTTTGCAAGGTAATTCGTGTTTTGCCATTCATGGTTCTAGCTCAGACACATACAGCAAATAGCAACAGAGAGACAAGGTGTTACCTTGTGTTATTGTCAAAGAAACTCCCATCTCAGTGTGTATGAGGCTTTGTGAAATGATGGAGGAAAGGACTAAGGAAGGGAGGAGAGAAGAGGGGGATGCTCTGGATCTTTTGCATTGCTGTCTGGGCAATCCCGCACAGGCAGCACCCCCCCCAAGATGGGACACAGAGGTGTGGATCTGACTGCTGTGGTCAGGGTCTGTCACCAACCCCACAGGAGGCGAGAGATGAACCAGGCCCAGGGCCTGGAGCCAGGAGCAAGGGGAGATGGAGCCGGAGGCAGGGCTGGAGGATGGGGCTGGTGGGGTCTTGGTGGGGTCCATCCAGGAAACAAGCTACCCACAGCACAGCTCCAATCCTTGGACAATCCCTTGGACAGGGATCGAAGGCCCCAGACTGAGCCTTAGCATGGCTCCTGGGCCATAGGCTGAAGTGGGGACCCAAGTGGTGCTGGTCAATGATGCTGAGACCTTTTGGTGCCCTCGGGGCCCTGACAGCAATGGCCTGCTCTCTCACAGTACTAGATTCATTTATTTTGCCAGTGTTGTCCGAAAGGCACAGCTTTCTAAATGTGGTGTGGTGAATCTGAATGAAAGTGAAAAGTCCTATTTGCAGTTGTTCACCACATGTTACACATTCTCTCTGCTTTGTAGCCACTTTTATCATAATTGCATGAAATTTCACTTCATTTTCAGTTTGTCTAAATGAAATTGCATCTGGGTAAATAAACAACATGACAGCGTGCAGGAAACACCTTCTTGTTGCTTCTAGTAGAATCTTTTTCTTGGGTGTGTTCTTATCACCCTAGCAGGCACTTTCTAGTTTCCAGAATGTTCTGAACGTGGCAGCCATCTTTGCTGCTTCACTTGGGATAAATCAGGGACCCTTTGGCAATTGGCAACGCTGGATTGTTTCTTTCTTTTCCCATGGTGCAGAAGCAGTGGCTGGAGTAACCTGACAGTCTCTGGTTTGAATTCCTTTGGTGTTCATACCACAGTCAGTTACTGCACAGGACAGCTCAGCAAATTCTTCCTCAGATGAGATTCAGAAACTACAAAAGCACCAGTATTTAATTATAGGTGTCAGACTGCCTTTTATGTAGTGATGTTCTGAATTCTTCAAATTCTTTCACCATTTTCTATTCCATTTTAGTATTTGATTCTTTTTTTCTTGCACAAGAGGTGAGGTGAAAATTAGCTCAATTCCAGCTGATGTTAATTGTGATGGTTTCTTTGATTTTAAGGAAGAATCAGACCCTGCACATAAATGCTTCTAAATCTTTATTGAAGTTCACAAGACATCCTAGAACCTGTAGCTTGAGAACAAATGGACACAGCAAGGTGATTTGGAATTGGGGCAGTTCTAGAGCATAGTTGTTCGGGTGAAAGCAGTAGCTTTAATCATGATGCAGTCCAAATGGGGGCTTTGGGGGATTTTTAGAAAGAGAGAAATAGATGTGGATGGGGCTGAGGAGTTTTCTGTGCTAACAGTATATGACAATTGTGCTGAGGAAAGTTGCTGGGTAGGTCCCCAGTGGTACTAAGATGCAATACAGGACACCTGTAAGACTGCTGCACACTCCTATTGTTCTGACCAAAACGCTTTATCAGCTTCTTGGAAAATGTAGAACAACTGTGACACTTCAAAAAATGACATGGTTTTATTTTTTGCAAGTCATTTCTGATGTTCTAATTCAATTTGTCTGTCCTCTCAGCAAACTGTTACTTGACTGATTTAGGCTTTTCTTTTCTTTTTTTTTCTTTTTTATTTTTTTTTTCTCTCTTATTTCTCCCTTCATTACTGGTTCCAAAGCACACAAGCCTATGGAATTCTTCTTTTTCAGGTATCCAAAACAGATCCTTCACCAAAGAGGGAGATGCCCACTATGATCCTCTTCAATGTCGTGTTTGCCCTAAGGGTAAGGACTGTCCCTTGTCACTGGGGAGTGGGATGCACCTCAGCTGTGTAACAGAGTGCAGCAGGCTCGTGTTCCACTGGTCTCTTTTGAAATATTTGGTGTCTGATTTCACTTGGAGATTTTCACTTCAAACAACAAAACTAAACAGTATAGAATATCACACTGAGAAGTGGGAAACTTTTTCAGCCCGGTGCTCTATATAGCTCAAGCACAGTTATTCTCTTCAGGACATACTGTAGAGCTGTTTTTTTCTTTGTTTTATTTTAAATAGCCACAGGGTAGAGGCTTGCAAGATATCACTTTGCAAATTATATATGGCCTCTGTTGCAAATCTTGCTCGTGTCTTGTCATTTGTGATTTGTGAAATGGTGACCTGCTGTGATTTTTCTAACAGTGCCATTGAATCCTGTCCAAGCTAGCTGTGTGGAAAGGCAGCCTGTGTCTTCCTGTGCTGTGTGCCAGATGCTGTTTTCTGTTTTCCTTCTGCCCAGAATAAGCCCAGATCCATTGTAGTGCACTAGCATTTTGCTGGGCCTTTGTGGCTCCGTGCAACTTTGACCTTGGTGTCCAATTCTGCTCCAGAATCAGAGCAGCAGCACGCACAGACAGTGGCACTTGTGGCCAGCCTTGTGAGTGACGGCCTTGCCATGGCTTTGGTTAGCTGAAGCTTGCTCAGTGCAGAGCCATTAGAAATCTGCTCTGTGCACTCTAGAGCCATCACACCTTACTGGAAAGGTTTACTAGCTTGGATTCAGAGCTGGATGGGGGGCAGCTCCATGTGCTGTGCAGTGCTCTGGGTTCTGGGAAGGTGTATCGCTTGGGCCGGGAGTTATGTGGGCTGGATCAGAAGGAATGGGTTTAAGTCCTTGGACCTGTTTTGCCAGTTGGTTTTTTTTTCCCATTATGTGGAGCATTCCACATATTAGGATTATGTGGAATTAATTAGGCTCTTGACTTTGTCAAACGATGTAAATTATGTAGTTGCATCCTGTGTCCCCCCCCCCCTTTTTCCCTCTTTCTTCTCATAGTGCTTTGAGTGAGGCCACGTTCCTGCTGTAGTGGTCTTGCAGTTTCACCTAAAACTGGTCTGTGGATGAAGGTGCTCTTGATTTGATGCCTGAAGAATTTTCTTGGCAGTCCTTGTGTGTTTGGACAAAAGCTGTTCCTTTTTATAACCCTGATGCTTTTCTTGAAATGATATGTCAGAACAATCCTGTTTTGTGCCCATAGTCATGCTGTGTGATGCACTGTGCGTTGCCTCCAGGCCTCTTTTACAATTCAGTGGGAGGTGTTTGGAAGCTGCCACTTCTTAGGCATGAGATCTCTGTAAAAGAAGGAACATGCCAGGGAGCAGCTGGCTGTAGCATTCTGATTGAAGTGAAGGAACATGTGAGGAATAAATGAATTTTAATGCTAAACAAAAAGCTGGAGAAGTTATGTTTTCGTTTTTTCTCCTCAGATCTAATCTATTGATAAGAAGTTAGGATCCGTGTCAAGAGATCCTGACTTGGCTAATTTGATAGCATAAAACTACAGAAATTTCATTATGTTCACGCATTGTTTGATTTCTGAGCTCTGGCTCTTTGCAGCCCACATATTACATCATGGAGCCATCATACTATTTCTGTGCCTTGTATACGTGTGAAGGAACATTTTTTAAATGAGAGCTGGAATAACTGTCTTTCTAGAGATGGTTGATTTTGGCTTGACCACGACTTTGGATACGGTGTCATGATTTAAAAGCCTCCAATTACCTGGCTGTGAAGTACTTGTAGTACTTTTCTTACCGCTGGCTTTCCAGTGGTGACTAACATATGCATACCCACAGTCCAAGTGGCTTTTCCTCAGTGAAAGAACAAGGCTTCACAAGTGACAGTTATGCCAGCAAGTTATGCCAGTCTGAATCAAGCAAGAAGTTGTTCCTCAAGTTCTGCTGAGGATCCAGTGTTGTGCCGTGGGATATTGTTAGGTTTAGGAGGTGCTAAGTTTGAATAGAAGCTGATTTCGTATTTCACACACTGACAGACATTGGCTTCAAAAGTCTTGATCTTCTAGTAAAGCATCCTGCTTTGATTGTAAGTAGGTAACTGGGCATGCAGACACTTTTGCATGTTGAGGAAGCAGGAGTGCTGCAAACAATGCTGCTTCACTCACAGCATTGCCAGGGCTTGGTGAGGTGTTTATTTAGAATCTGGTTTAGTGATTCTAGGGAAAACTTGCTTTTTTGTTGGCAGAGTGAGGATACTGATGTAGTTTAATGCGGCAGTGAATGGTATTTGCCAAATAAGACACTCATACTTCGTAGAGAACTGTCAAGTTTTTGGAAAGTGCTGTGCGTAAAGCAAGTGGAAATTTGTGCACTGCAAAGTGTGGGTGGAGGTATTCTGAGATAAAGAGGAGAGTCCATCTGCAGCAGGCAGACAGCAGGCAAAGTCCCAGAAGCTATAATCAGCACCCGTCCTGCTGTGTTAAGCTTCAGGGCTACAACGTGTCGTGACTCAGCAACAACAGCAGAATTCAGAAGTGTTGACTCATGGTTTGCTAGTTTACGTGCCAAGTTATCACTTGCTAGAACTGTAAATTCCTCTGAATATCTTAACAAACATGAGGCAGCTGTGTGCTGTGCACTCCCTGACTAGAGCCACCAAGTCCTCCCTTGTCAGCTGCCCTTATGTGATAGATTTTTCCAGCACAAAGGGGACTGGCACAAATGTAATGTTTGTAACGAGCCGTATTCGTGAAACGCTTTGGAATGTAAACCCACATTCATTCTGGTTCGGATCAAAGTGTTGATCATGCGTTGGTGCTTCTAATAAAATTAGCATTTGTCTTGTGAGGAGTAAGAGAGTCGCAGTATAAATGGTGTTGAAGGCACTGCTGTCCCTGCGCTCCCAGTGAGCTGAATGTCATGATGTTTAGGACAAGGGGGGAGGGTTTTAAACTATGGGAGATTTAGATTGGATGTCAGGGGGAAACTGTTCACCAAGAGAGTGATGAAGTGCTGGAACAGGCTGCCCAGAGGGGCCCTGGAGATAGCCCTGGAGGTGTTCAGGCCAGGTTGAGCGGGGCCCTGGGCAGCCTGTTGTAGCACATGGTTTAGAGGTTAGCAGACCTGCCTGTGGCGCAGGGATTGAAACTTGATCATCCTTGAGGTCCCTTTCCAACCCATTCTGTGATTCCTCCTTTTCAATTCCGTTTGTGTTCCTCCTTTTCAAACAACTTGATATTTTCTTCCCAGATGTGTACAATTGAGTTCTTTGCTTTCTCTGATAGCAAAAGGCCCAGAAACAACTGGAAAAAATAAAACAGCTTTGAGTCACATACTCCAAGCGCTGCGTTAATTTGTTGTGTAAGGAAAAGCTTAGAAATCCCTCATCCTGCTCTTCCTTACCTGTGGATATCTCTGACAGCTTTTTTGCTCTCGGAGAAAATTCCTTTTTTTGCCTGTTGCCAAAGGCTGACCGTGGTATCTGCTGAAGATGATTACTTTGATTGCTTCTGATTACTTACCCATCACTTTAGTTCCATAAATGTGATTGTGGCTGACTGACCGACCAGTTTCTGTGTTGCCTGCAGGCCAATGCAGATCCATCAGTGATAAACTGCCTACACAACCTTTCCCGCCGGATCGCCATCGTCCTGCAGCACGAGGAGCGCCGCTGCCAATACCTGACCAGGGAGGCCAAACTCATCTTAGCTATTCAGGATGAAGTGTCTGCCATGTCAGAAAGTGAGTACTGAGCTTAGATTGGACAGGAATATGTTTGTCAGGAGTACTTTTTCAGAAAAGTGCTGATGGAGCCTTTTGTGGCTGGGATCAGGATGTGCTCGTTTTGGTGCTCCTTAGCATTCTGACAGCTTTTGATTGCATTTTGCCCCATCCAAGATCACAATTCCTGTGCAGAGATGTCAGCTTTAAAAGTGAAGTAGTTTGGCTGCTTTCTCTGCTATCTGAGTTCAGAGCAATCACTGGAGAGTGTGCACTGAATGTTTGAATTTGCCTGTCAGACTGAGATGGAAGAACTCGTGTGGTGCAGCTTTATTCAACCTAGAGCAAGCCTGGCACGTGCTAATGCTGTGTCCCAGGTCACCAGACGTCTTGTGTAGAAATTTTACCTGTTCACACGGCCAACAGATTGTGTTACAGCATTTTTATTGACCATGCTTTATAGCAATTAACTAAAATAATAAGCACAGTCAGGGTGAACTGACTGCCCCGTCTGATGCACCGTCTTGCTGCAAGTGTTGAAAACTAGAGTTAGTATGTATAAAACCAAAACCATTTAATATCGTTGCTTGTCAAGTTCACAAATATGTGTGTTTAACTGAGTTGAGCATCAGAAGAAGCTGACATTAATTCACTTTATTATCTTGACATTTAACTTGGATTATCATAAAAGCTTTGAAATAGAAGTGTAAATCAAGAAGGTAGGGATTCCGTGCCTATGGTGCTGGTTTGTGCCTAGAGGGGGAAGGGGAAATTCTCTCTACTTTTAAGTTAGTTATTTGCTTTCTTGTTTTGAAATGTTCCATAGCTACAGAAGGGCCACAGTCACCTTTTCATCACATCCTGCCCAAGTGCAAACTGGCCAGAGATCTCAAAGAGACTTATGACAGGTAAGTAGCATTTTCTTCGTAGCTTGTAGCACACTGCTTCTCACTGAAACCTCCTGGCCCTGTTCCTTGGGCAGTTATCCATCTCCTCATGTTGCTGATTCACTGAAATCTGTTTTCAGACCAGGCAGAATGGTGTGAAGGCTTGCTGTCAGGTGAAATGGTTGCAGAATTGCTCTCCTAATCATCACCATGGTGTCTCTTTGGGTATTTTATGTTTCTTAACAGTTGGTGGTCTGTTGCAGCTTTAAGAATTATTTTCCTCTTCAGAATAGAGGCACGTAATGACAAACAAATTGTAGAATTGGAAAGTGTCAAATTATGAATATCTTATCTCTGTAGAAGTGCTCAAAACCAACAGGTAAGGGAAAAACGCTACATCAGGCACTGATGGCAGTGCCAGATACTGCCTTGCCTGCATTTGTCTGCACTGTGCATGTCTAGACATAGAATTTGGATTAGACTGTGAGACTTTCAGCAGAATGGAAAGTACAACATGCTGCTTCTTGACTGGATTAAAGGCTCTGGCGAGGATTTCAAAGAAGTGTGGATGAAAGGTTGGATTTCAGCAGGAGCTGGGCACCTAGCTCCTCCAGCGTCCTCCTCCAGCAGCATGTCAGTGCTGACTCCTCATGCTGAGCAGACAGTTTCATTCAGGAAATGCACCTGGGGAAATAAGGACAGAGAACAGAAGGGTTTGGTGGGCAGAGAGATGTGCCCCTTGATGTGGGTGTTTGTCTGGGCTGAGGCAAACTGCTGTTAAGTTCCTTCTTTGACTTTAGAGCACTGATCTCAGAGCAACTCTTCCCTGGGATGCAGTTTCCCTTATACAGAGGGAAGACACTGAGAACCTAAATAATTAAATGATAATAAAGCTTTTAATAAGATGTTTTTACACTGTGTTCAAGAACTCTGACTTTCAGTGTGTTTGTTTACTGTTCAGTGCAACTCTCCCAACATCTGTACTAAATGTTAGCATAGGGCACTCTTTGTGTAGCCTGTTGTTCTTACCTGAAATTTTTCACCTACTTCTTACTTTGTTCTGTTCCTCTCAGGCTGTGTGCTGGTGACTAGGCAATTCCTTATCTTGTTTCCAAACATTTTAGTGACACAGTGACATCTTGTGGCACGTAGCTGTGACTGTAGGAGCACACAGGCCCAAGCTCGTGGGGTGTATTACTGCTGCCCTTCCACAAAACAAGGAGCATGGCAAAGCACACATTGGTGCTGGCTCCCAGAGGTAATATAAAGCAATCTCTCTCATGTAGACAGTGTGGGAGGGAGAGAGAGGATGTGCAGCATATTTTGACTCTGCTTTGCACAGCATTGTCATGAGCAAACCTAAGAAATAAGCTGTTAGTAAAAGTAAGAAATGACTTTGCATTTGAGTGCAAAGCTCTGTTTAAGAGCAGTCAGCGGTGTTGCTGGATGGTGTTCTTGGAATTCCAGACAAAGGGCCACTTGAATTACCCCAGTTGCTCCAGAAATGCTGCCTAGCCCTTGCTTTCCTGTAGATGGTGCTGAGGTAATTCAGGCAAGATCCAACACATCTCTTAGTAAGGTGGTTTATGCAGAACCACAAGTGTGTGAATCTTTTTGTAATTCAGCATGTCCTCTGCATTTGGAATGAAACACCCATAGTTTGTAAGGCAGCAAGCAATTCCAGGTCATCTGGACTGTAGCACTACTGCTGTAGGAACCGAGTGTTATTAAAGTGGGAATTTAGAGGTAGTCAGCATGACTTCCTGGGACCTTTTGACTCCTAAGGGCTAAAACCAGAATGTTTCTCTTCAGTCAGTTCAGAAAACTGATTTGGGGATCTTTTTTCATTTTCCTCCTCCCACACTCCAGCACTGCAATAGAGCAAGGAGCAATGGCTCCAGACCAACAGTTGCCATTGCTAGCACCTCCAGTGACCTCTTGTATAGTGTGAGCTTCTTTCAGGCCAGTGTTCATTTTAAGGAATAAAGACTGCTTTCACTAAGTTTATCTACAGGTGCAGATAATTTAGTTGGTTAGCTGATGATAGCTAACTGCTCATCTGGTTTCAGCAAATTTCTACTAGCTTTATATCAGAAAAAAAGTGAAAAGGGAGGATTGGCTTTTTTTGTTTTATTTCTTTGTTCTTAATACACAAAGTGCCTTCATACATTTTTAGCTAGTGGGATTAGAACTGCTCAGTGGATCTAGTCCATCCTACCTTGAGAAGGGGAATAATAAATTATGATATGGGGATGTGTATGGATGTATGTAAGATATGAATGAGCTGCAGTTAGTTGACCAAAGGACAGTGAGTGCATCCTTTACACCGAAGTGTAAAACCATTTCAGAGCTCCAAACAGTCACAACTTCTAGCAAAAACAAACTCAGATGTGAGTTCACTGCAACTAGCAGAAGTGTTATTAAATTCTGATGTAAATGGGATAAACATAAAATACTCTGTGTGTCTGTAGGAATTCATAAATGTGAGGTGAAATATTCTGTTGGTAGTTGTGCAGAGAAGGCTGGAATCATGCAGAATACTGGGAAACTTTGGATTCCCACTTTGGGGCGGTGGCTTCTGGGCAGAGCATAAGAATAGGGCAAAGGAGCATCCAATATTGCCCAGCTTCCTGCAGCTGGCAGCTCTGGAGGTGCTTTCTGTATATTCCAGAGCCTTCAGCTGATCTCACTTCCCGAATTCAGTCCTCTCTCCTGCGAGCCAAAGTAAATATTTAATGACCGCAGCATCCTCTGATAAGGGGCTCCATGGCTGCTCTGGTTCTTTCTGTTTCTTTCTGAACTTTGCTCCTCCTGCTCTCATTAGCCATCTCCCAGGGCTCGCTGTTACTGCTGAATGCTGGTAAACTGCTGGATAAAACAGCAGATGAAGTTCAGGAGGGACAGATGTACAGTAATGCACGTGAGGCAAACAGCCTTCAGGTATTTATGGCACTGCTGGGATCCCCTGAGGCTCCTCCAGCAGAGCAGCCCCAGCTCTCAGGACTCAACGCCAGTCTGCTTGCTGTGACTGTATTTCGTGCTTCACAAATCCTTGCATATACTGTGGTGTAACTGCTTGCCTGTGACTGGCCGGGTGCAGTCCCATCCGTTGTTGCTGGGGGTCACTGCTTATTCTCAGCCAGATTATTAGAGTTAAATTGTTTTCTGCTCAAGGGGGGAGGAGTGGAGGAGAAACCATTATAGAAAGCTATAATGAGGGCTTGGGATTGAATGCAAATGTGGAAAAATGAAATTAAATTCGAGATCAGAACTCAAAATCTGTTTTTCTCCTTGTCTTTAATTTTAAACTATTGTTGTATAATGCACTGCAGACAAAATTATGCTGTGGAGAGGGTAATTATATAATTAAAGCTTCTGAAATCGTGCACATGGGCCAGAGGATGAAAGGAGCCAACTGCACTTTTTTTCTGTTTTCTGAACATTCAACTTCGCTGTGAAAATATCCCTGCAAGTGCTTCATGCTGTCGCTGTTTGGTCGCCCACTTTAACAGCCCTGTTTGCTTTCATGTCCTCTCTTAATCACTCATGGATTTTTTGTCACGTTTTCTCTTGTGAGTGCCTGGTGTGAATGGGTGAATTCTGCTTCAGGTTGCCCTTTCTGTGCATGTATTTAAGATAATCCATCTTTCCCTGTCAGCTATGTACATCTGGTGGGATAAGCAGCGCTAATGGACTTGCAGCATTTAATGCAAGAGAAAGAGAAGTGAAAGAAGAGAAAGGGAAGTGTTTGCCCAAGCTTTGCCTCAGGGCCCGGAGCTCTGAGCAGGTGGGAGATGGCAGCACCAGGAGAGCAGGCTCATCTCTTCAGTGCATTCTTAAGAAGAGGAAGACATGTGCAGTGCTTATTCTTTTTGCACCTTGACAAATAAATACCTCTCAGCGTTCAGTGCAGGATTTGAGAACAAAACCACAGCCACTGCTTTGCAGAGCATTGTCTACAGTGAGGTTTTACCTCATGAAAGGGCAGGATGGGATCATATTGATGCTCTCACACTGGTGTGCTTTGGTGGCCGGTTCTGCTAGCAGCATGAGCTGCTGATGCTTTTGTTTCAAAGCTGAATTTCCATCTCTCTTTGAGCTCTATCTACAACCAGATGAGGTTAAAAAGGAGCATGTTAGTTTGTGTCTGGAAGCTGAGCAGTAGGTAGAAGTGTTTAAGCCACCTCATAGGGAGTGTCCAGGACGTGTATTCACACTGCCTGTTCCTGGAGTGTTTTGTGCAGAGAGGAAATTCTCATGTTTTCTTGACACAGAAGTCCTATTGCTAATCTCAACACAATTTTGCTTCAAATTTAGTTGGGAATTTTCAGAGTGCAAACTTCAAAATATTGTCTTGTTTAGAAAAAAAACAAACATCTTTTACAACAAACTCTAAAACCAGAGGATGTTTGGAAGGAGCCAGATGTTTCTGTCTGAGAACACGGCCTGTTAAGTTCTACATGTATGACAGACCTACATGCACACTCCTTGTGACTGACCCCAGGCTGTGTGTCCTTAGGGGCTGATGCTGGGCTGGCTGGCCTTGCTTCTCAGGATGAGGTGTGAGTTCATACAGTTTTCCCTGAGCTCTGATACACATCTTGGAGGACAGCAGCCTGGAAGCACGCTGAGAAATTCAGCTCTCCAGCACAAAGTTGGCTGTTGTTTAGGATTGATTTGCAAGTTCATGTTTGTTCCTCACTCCCCACAGAAGGAATGATGCTCAGCTTTGCCTCCTCTCCCTTGCTCAGTCCTCTACCAAAGCTGACCCCGGGCATGTTCTCATGTTGGCAGGCTGGGAGCATTATAAAGATTTGTAAGATGTTGCTAGCTTAGTGACTTGTCCTCTTCCCCACCTGTGCTCATTTTCCAATAGCTGTAGGTACCTATCTGGGTGTGCTTCATTTCTTGCTTAGATTCAGAGACTTCTGTTTCCATTCCTCTGAAATGCTTCTGACTCAATTCCATTCATCACTGAAGTATCTGGAACTGTCACAACCCAAAGTGAGCCCTGTGTGTGTGTGTTCTATTGTAAGGGTCTCACATAGACCTTCAAGAAACTGTTCTCTCGTGAGATACTGCTGCAGTGTTAATAGCAGGGGCAGCTGCAGATCAGTGGGAAGAAGGTTGCCCCAAAGCCTCGTAGGGCGCAGTGCTCTGCGAGTACAAGGCAGGGGAGGCCTCACAGCTAGAAGCCAGCTTGGCCTCAGCCAGCCTGGGGGTGGACACTCACTCCTTTCTTGTCCTGATGTGACTCATGTGCAGAAGTGAATCTGGACCACTGTTTTAATTTGCAATACACTATAAATGCTGTATGTGGTTTTTTCTTCCTATTGTAGCCTCTGTACAACAGGAGTGGTCCGGTTACATATCAACAACTGGCTGGAAGTGAGCTTCTGCCTGCCTCATAAAATCCATTATGTTGCAACAAATTTTATTCCCCCTGAGGCGATTGAGAGAAGCCTGAAATCTATCAGGTAAGAGCAAGTCCTCCAGACTGTCCATTTCAATCTGTTGACTCAGGACTAATCTTTCTTGTATAGGAGAGAGAGCCTGGGCCCCTTGATATCTAATTTTTTGCTCTCTGTGTTTACAGCTTTATATCTGCAAAAGTAACCAGCTCCTGCTTTTTTTTTCTCTTCTATTTCATTCTATATTTCAGTAAGTTCAGCCTGCATTAAATCCAGTTATATGGCTCTCTCTCCCCTCTTAATGGGGAACATCTTATCTTGTAAAATAAAAATAGGCTTACTCTAAATCTGCTTACAGCAGAAGGACGTTAAGAGGTTCATTTTGCCAGTAGATTGACGGGGTATCCCAATCTGGGAATAACTACACCTTCAGGAAAAGTTGCAGTTTACTCTACAAATGTATTCCCTTCTTTTTCTGCAGGCCTTACCATGCCTTATTGCTTCTAAATGATGAGAAGTCATTGCTTAATGAGCTCCCCTTGGACTGCTCTCCTGCCCTGGTGAGAGTAATTAAAACTACCTCTGCTGTGAAGAATTTGCAGCAGCTGGCTCAGGATGCTGACTTGGCATTGCTGCAGGTATGGGGAACTGTAAGCAGTAGTTGAGATTCTTTTAATTCATGAGACTTTTCTTTCTGGTGCCAGTGTGTTTCTGTGGTATATGAGATGCCAGTTTTTTTCCGTGTGAACAGAACTCTTGAGCCTTAGAGTGTGAGGCAGACCGGAGAGACAAAGGTCAGTGGTGCAGTAACTGTGCGTCCACGTCTGAATCACTAATTGCTGTGGGGTGGTGGGGCAGCCTGGAGGTCCCTAACCCACACCATGGCTCAGAGCAAGTCTGTGAAAGCAGGCTGCTTGGGAGTATGTCTGAATTCTGAATAGTTCCAGTGATGGAGATCCCACACCCCCTCTGGGCCCTGGTCCAGCATTGCACCAGCATTTGAGTGAAAAACTTTTCTTCATATCCAATGGGAATTTCCTGTGTTCCACCTTGTGACTGATACTTCTTGTCCAGTCTTTGTGCTCCACTGATAAGAACATCTCTGCCTTTTCTGTGCCTTCCCATTAGGTAGCTAAGAGCAAAACAAACCTGGAACAAATAGCACTGCTGACTTATTCCACAGTGGTCTGTCATGGCTCTAACATGCTGTTGTTGTCTGTGTGCAAATGAAGGCATCCAAAGTGCTTACAGTTGCCGTGGCCAAATAGGTGGCTGGACCTGCTTGGCCAAAGTGCATCTCTGCAGTTCTCTGCCCAAGGGCAGAAGATAGCCAAGGTGCAGCTTCTTACCTGATGGCTGCCTTAAGCATGTGTAAGGTCACTTGGCCACTTAGCACTGGAGCAGCACAGTTATGTGGCCCTTTGCTTGTCAGGCCTGGTGCTTGTGCTGGGACTGCAGTGGGGAGAGCTATTCAGCCTTGCTAAGGACAGGTTCAGACCCAGGCATGTGTCTTGTGCTCAGTGTGACAAAGGAGAGCATGGCTTGTCATCTCAGGTGTTCTGGGTCACGAGTCCAGGCCCTCTCTTGTCCTGTTTTGTAATAAGATGTGCAGGTTTACTTACGGTGGTTGTGGTTTTACTTGGCATTCTACAGTTGTGGGATGAACTTTGGAAATTCCCTGCTCATCTGTGGTTCTGTTCTCCACAAAAAAGCAAAGTTAAATACATCTAATGATATGGGCTGGATTTTACGTCTCCTAGATGCCACTTATGTGGCTCCTCCAGAGCCTGTAACAACCACTGACCTTTTAAAACGTATTAAAATGCGTTGTGTAACTCATTACTGAAATATCTCCAAGCGTTTAAAAGACCGTTTTGTTTCCTTTATGTTTGTGTCATGGTGGAGGCCAATTCACTTTATTTTTCATACATAAACTGAAGTGCATTCTGTGCATAAACAAAAATAGGTTGTCGGTGCATAAAATGCAACTAAACGTCTGTTAATACAGTTTGAAGGAATTCCTTAAAAACAGGAAATACTGAGTTCCTCAGAAATGTGATGCAAATCTCTGGAAATTAATAACCTTGTCAAAGCTTTTTGAAGTGCCATGTGTTATATTAAAGCCCAAACGCTCTCTGAAGGCAGCGTGAGAGGACGGAATGTTGCGCTTTCATTTCAGTTCCAGCAAGACTTTGCAGCCATCTGATGTGATGTTTCTGTCACCGTATGTAAGTGTTGCCAAGGGTCTGAGGTTTTTTTTGCTCTCCTGATTTTTCCATGTTCCCTCAATGCAGGTTTTCCAGCTTGCTGCACATCTCGTTTACTGGGGAAAAGCAATTATTATTTATCCGCTGTGTGAGAACAATGTCTACATGCTTTCACCAAATGCCAGTGTCTGCCTGTAAGTAGAAGGAAGATGAATGGCAGTGAGAAGTGCAGAGACCCCTTCCTTCCCTGTGTTACTGGATGCAGCACGGGGCAGCTCTGTGTGCACCAAGTTGTTGCAGTTGTGCAGAGTGCAAACCATTCCCTGTGCTTGAAATTACAAAGCCATGTAGGAGCTTGGTGCAGGGAGCAACATCAAAGCATCAATATGCTTCTGCAGCAACGTGGACTTGGAAACAATATTTACACTGTGATGCTCCTTCTATTGAGATGTTTATAGAATTTGTGTTGGAACTCTGCTGTAGGAAAATAATTTTAGGTCAAAACTTATGGGGTGGAGGTATAAAAATAGGGCTGAAACAGACCTGGAGGTCACTCAGGAGCAGCTGTGCCTCTCATATATGGGAGTGCTGTTCTTGAAGACAGTTTTCCTAATATTTAACTTGCTTCTCCCACACTTGTAATCAATCATCAGTACTGCTTTTCTTGTTCTGCTCAGGCAGGGAGAGCAGTCCCATCTGCAGCTGCATGTTGTGTGTTTGAAGGTGTGCTGACATGCTGCCCATCCCCACTCTGGTAGTCTCTCAGCTGTACAGTCCCTGCTCTTTGATCACAGACAGCTCAGGTTTACAATTTTGTAGTTTTTATTTGTGTCTTTTGGATTTCCTCAACACCTTGAATAATACAGTGAAGCTGAATGCAGTGCCAGGATGAAAATGCATACACTGCTTGGTTACTTAAAGCAAGAAGCAACATGCCATGAATTACCCTTAATGTGTTTCTAGATGTTTCATTTGGGAATTCCCACTTCTGTAATACTGAAGTGGATAAATATTATCCTGACCAGCAATATCAAACTAACTGATTCCTGCTCTACCTCTCTTTTGCAGTTACTCTCCATTGGCAGATGCATTTTCCTGTCAGTTCCGGGGCCACAATCTGCCATCAATGCTCTCCAAGTTCTCCCTCCCAGTGTCACTCTCAGAGTTCAAGAACCCCCTCGTGCCTCCCGTGCAGGAGGTGAGATGGGGGAGAGTGCAGGAGCCGTTGGGCACTGGGTCACTGCCCTGCCAATGAGGACTGGGTTTGCTTCTGGTTAGGAACTTGCTCTTGTAGAATTCACCTCTTAATACATTTCCAAACGTAATTTGTTGTTTCATATTCACGTACCAAAAGGCTGTGGGGACTGTCATGGGGAAGCCATGTGGATGATTTGTGTTAGGAAAGCACATTCCTGAAAGAAAAATCAGAATTCTTCTTTTCTTGGAGTGATGCAGTAGGGACTGCTGTAGTCTGCCACCGTTAGTAGGGCAGAAGCTCATGGTTTGATGAAGATCATGGTTTGCAGCCTTTCTGGGAACCAGTGAAATGTAAGAAAGGGCTCAGGAACATAACAAACATAACGCCTTCTGATGCTGCTACATTCCCAGGTGAAGAAAATGAGACCCCTGAGCACAGCTTACTGTGGCAAAGGGAGCCTGGGTAGATTTCGCTGGGGTGCCTCCAAATGCTGCTAGCCTTTGTGCTTTGATGACTTGCTGTGTTTATATGAAATTAGTCACAATTCAAACACCTAGAAGATTAACATCAATTAAGCACACAGACACAATTACGAGAGAAGAATTTGTTGTAATTACAGGCTGGCAGAGATTATGATCAGAGATAATTATTTATGAAGCTTCTAATCCCAGTAGTATGTACTGGTCAGCTGCCATCTTTGGAGGTGGGGGAGAGCAGTGCCTGCTGTTCTGGCAGCATTTTGCTGTATTACAGACAAATCTGTGTCTGGAAAATGGAAGCATTAATTCTGTTGTAGCTGCAGTAGATTTGGGAGGCATTCTTACTCTCAGTAGCCCATTTAAGATTAATGACTTGCTCTAGTATTTTTCCATTGACACTTCTGGTTGTTCTCAGTTGTCTTTGTTTAAAACACATAACAAACGTCTGCCACATGCTGCTGCAGCCATGGGGAAAGCCCTGAAACAGCAAGGTGTGCCTACGTTTGCCAGAGCTGTTGGAGTGCTGAAATGGCTCTTTTGGAATGAGTGTCTTCAGGTTGGTGCTCACCTGCCTGGTGGGGCTCTGAAGGTCAACAGCACGAGAGGTTTTCCTCAGCCCTGTGGTGTGAGTCCACACACTGAGGATGAGGATGGTGCTGAGAAAAGGGGAAGTGAGTCTCTGTGCTTGCAGAACACTTGGGACTGCTGTGGCAAGGTGTGGAGACCATCACGTGCCTTGGGCTGCTGTGAGACATGGTTAGTTTCTTTCCCATGAAGGCAAGCATGCTGGTTCTTGGAGGAATACGGTCTGGAAAGAGCTTTTAGGTGGTTTTATATCATACATTCATGCAAAAAAAGTACCTTCCTCTGCTTTGATTTACCTATGCAGTATTGTTTTATTATGAAACAGCCTTTTTTAAAGGCTGGTTCCTAATGAGATGAATCTAACCCCTGTGCAGGAGTGGTCAGGCTCCAATTGTAGTTAACTGTAATTAACAGAGATCTAGTCGATAGAGTGATTAATCTGATGAAATGTGGGTGTTTTGTTTTTTGTTTTTTTTCTGCTGTGCAGCAATAAAATGTGCTGCACTCTGAACTGTAAATACTGTCAAATTATGTTTGCTTTGCCTTTGAAAAAAATGAACAAAGTTTGGATCTTTCACTGTAATTTTACTCTCTGTACGTAGGAGTGGATGTTTTTTGTTTTCTTTTGTCCTGTTTTTCAAAAAAGCTTTGAAGAATTTGACTGGTGGCCATGCCTTGTGCCACTCATGGTGCTGACTGCTGCCTGTGGTTCTGAAGGTCAGTGCAGTGGGAAGGGCTGTATTGTCTGCAGAAGCTGTTGAGGTCTCATGGCACCCATCCCATTGGATTGTTGTCTTTAGATTGGCTTCCTTCCTTCTGCAGTGCCCTTCTGGATGAGCATCTGTCTGTCAGGTAGGGGAGGTGTCCAGGCAGTGGCCTCCATTAGCACTGCCTGTGCTCTCAGCCATGTCCTGAGCACGAGACAGTAGCTTTCTTGGAGCCAGTCTTCTCGATCTCTTTTCTTGCCTGGGATGACAAGCTGTACATTGCAGTTGAGCTCTGCCATGGTTTTATGTCTGTCATCCGTGGTCTTGTGCTCATATTTGCGAAGTTGTTGGTCTTCGTGTAGAGATCTCTAAGCCAGCTTCCCTTTTTCTGTTACATCTGCCCTGCTTGGATAGCAGCATTGCACCAAGCCTGTGACTGCAGCTTAGCTGGTCTAATGAAAGCTTGGTGCTGCTGAGAGGGGGAAGGGGCCCTCTTTTCCCTTTCCACTCAGTATGTGCACATGCCTTCCTCCTTTCCCTCTTCCCTTTGTGCTGGAGCTCTGGCTCCTGTCCAGCTCGATTCTATTCATGTAACTCATTTCAGCCACTCTAGTTCTTTGCCAGGTTAGCAGGTGGAATTCACTCAGGGGAGGATCTGCAGCTCCAGGGCCGGTGCTGAACGAGGGAGGCACTTCTGCAGCTGGGGATGAGAGTGAGGAAAGCAGATGTGACTTCTCTTTTTTCACAGTGGTGAGTTGCCTGTTAGCAGCACTGAGAAGTGTTACATGGACTTCCAGCAAGCCCCCCACCTGGGACTGTGTCCTGACCAGCAGCCCATGTATCTCATACTGCTGGTACTGGATCTCATGAGCTGACATGGCAGGGGAAACTCATAATCCCTCGTAGTGTTTTTTTCTGGAATAAAAGCAATTTGCATCTCCTCTATCCTGACCCCAAGAAGGCTGTCTTTCTTCTGCTGCCCATGACTCTGGGCTCTTATCCCAGCCTCTCCTCTCCCTCGTGTGGCACAGCATTGGTGATTGCACAGCAGATTGCACAGCAGATTGCACAGAATGGAGTTCTGTGGTTGGGAACAAATCTGGAATGGTTTTGCTGGAATGGTGTTCCAGGTCTGGCTGGGTTGGAGTTAGCTTTCCCCACAGCAGTCCATATGGTGATGTGCTTTGCATTTGTAGCTAGAACAGCATTGGTATCACGTATTTTTGTTATTGGGAAGAATTTGGCTGCACATCTGTGTAGTCTGTGGGCAGTGTTAGCTGCCTGGCCCTGCCATTGTCTTGATCAAGAAGGTTTGAGGTTACGTACAGAAGCAAAGGGTCTCAGCAAGCAGGTTATAAAACTTGTGGCACTCACCTTCCTGTTTAGGGTCACTCTGTTTTCTCCTGCCGTAGAACAAAGTGATTTCTAAAGACTATGACAAGCTTTGCTGCTGAGAATCTGGCCCTCCAATTTGCACAGGATTGCTTGTAGAATTACCAGCTTCTTGTTCCCTTCCTTGCTGATAAGCCATGATTACTTTTATCCTTATAGCAGCATTAGTTAAAAGAATCAGGGAGCTCTGAGCTTTGAGCTTAGGTCCATTTTCAGCTTATCTAAGACTGCAGATTTCACTGAAGGTATAATTCAAATTCCCTTTTCAAAAATGGATCTGAATATAGTCTAAACCAGGCAGTACGTTTGTGGATGCTCTTCCTTAAAAGAGGTGAGTGACAGGGAGGCACCGTGTGCACAGATTGCATACAGAATAAATGGTTCAGTTTTTATGAAGAATACGTGTTCCTGTGTGTACAGAACACCCTGCATGGCAGCCTGGCCCCGTGCCTTTTTGGGGGATATTCTTGCAGTGTGTGGCAGAGCAGCACTGCTCAGGTCACTGTATGCACTTCAGAGTGCAGCAATCGCTGCTTGAATATACAGGTGTCACCACCATGCAAGGAGCATTGCTGAAGGGAACTGTGGGCAGTGTGTGTGTGGCTGTGCAAGCACTCAGAAGCACAACAGCTGGTGCTGTAGCATTAGATGCAGAGGGGATCTCTCCACCCCTCAGGCAGGAGTGTACTCGTGTGAATTCGACATCCCATTTTGTCCCTGCATCCCCTTTGCTGCAGCAGCTCGCTGTCACAGTGCATATGCTTATTGTAGCTAACTAACTCTTCCTTCATGGGGCTGGGGTAACTGTGGCCAAAAAACAGGTGGGAAAGTACAACGGCAGCCAGTGAACACAAAACAAATGCTTTTTCAGCTTTGATTTCCTAAGTCTGGCCACAGTGCTGGAGTAAGGCTGCAGCAGATGAGGCCTTTGCTGTACATGGAAAACGTGCTGTGCTTTGTGTAGCAGCACAGTGGAAAATAGTGCGTGCCAGAGGATGGGAGTGGGAGGAGAGCTGCATGCAAATGCTGAGTGGATGTCTGGAAGGTGTTAAGAGTCACAGGAGCTTTTGGTGGCAGAAGTATGGAAGTAAGATTCGGGTTTGTGTATAAAATCAGGGTTTCTCATGTGGCAAGTTTAAAAATAGGGTGTTCCAAGTCTAAATAGAGAGAACAGTTAAGTTGATTTGGTGGAATTCAGAGCTGTCACATAATGATTAACGTGGCAATATTACACAATAATATTCTGCATCAATAGGGGCTGTCTGTGCAAAACAGGGAGAACTTTTAATAGCTTTAGTTTTTGGTAAAATGGAGTATTTTGAATGATAAAAGAGCTCAGTGTGTTTCAACACGTACCCCAGTGGAGGTGCTGTGTTACTGACCCAAAGCACTGCCGTTCTCAAGGCAGACTGTGGACAGTGTGTGTCTCATCTACAGCTCAGCTGGAGGAGAGGCACTCGTCCTTCAGCAGGAAAGTGAGCCGTGCTTTAACTAAGAGTGCATCTTCACGCAGAGAGAAACACCAGGCTGAGATCTGAGTGATTCCATGCTGCTGTTCTCTCTTCCCTTTCCTGAACATGTTGCCAGTTGTAGAATTATAGAATCACAGAATGGCCTGGGTTTAAAAGAACCTCAGTGATCATCTTGTTTCAACCCCCCTGCTATGTGCAGGGTCACTAACCACCAGACCAGGCTGCCCAGAGCCACATCCAGCCTGGATCCAGTCCCCATTTTCTGGGCATTTAGCTTTTTAGGCCTGGGAAAGAAACAGCTTTAAAGAATCTTTGTAAGAAATGCACTTTATTCAACACACACTGAACAGTTTTACAGAAGCTCCCCTTGACTCCCAGAGGGACAAAAACAACGAGTGCTGGATCCTGCCCCTTCAGGACAGGGGCTCTCCCTGCCCAGATGAGCTGACATAAGAGTGCCCATCTTCTCTGCTTTGGTCAGTAAGCATAAAGCAGTGTATGGTTGGCAGTGCCCTGCGCTGTGTCATGCATCACAACGTGTGCTGCTGTGCCACTGCAGGGGTGAGGAATGGGGTGGCTGAGCTGTTCCAGTGGGAAAGTCCCATTGGTGCCTGATGGGAGCCCCTCTGCCCAGACTGGAGAGAGGCAGCATGGGGAGAGGGAGGGGGGTGGATGAAATTGAGTGTTGAATTGAACAGTGAAATGGGTCTCCTTTTGTATTTCCATTTCGGCCTCGCAGGGCTGTGGCTTCCTGCAGTGCTGATGTCTCATGGGGCAGCTGTGGGGTGGAGCATGCCCTGCCCTGCAGAGTTACTCTCAGCTCTTTTTGGCTTCAAGAAAGAGACCAGCAAGTCGAATGGACTGAGCCCAAGTGTGGAGATAAACCAACAGACAGCAATGCAGGTGGTATGGGGAAACCTGCCCTCCTACACACCTGTCTGAGAGGTCCATCAAAGCTCGAGAGAAGCAGATGGAGCATGGTTGTAAATTCTGTTTGTGTCCAGAAGAACGGGCAGCAGACTGCATTAGCAAAGCTGTCTCCTTGAATTGCAGTGATTTGTCCCATGAAGTGTCAGACCCCTTTTGATTTGTTGTGACACCAGCTGGTGGGACGTCACCGCATGCCAGCAGGTCAGAAATTTACATGAAACATATGGGGCATCTTCTCCTGCATCTGGAAGGTTTCGAGCACTCGGCCTCGTCTTTCCTCCAGGCTGATTTCAGATGTTAGCAGAATGATATGCAAACGTCCTTGTTATCTCGTGCCAACTTTCCTGTGCTGTACGTTCTCTTTTAAATGTAGAAAATGAATTATACCTTTTCTGGAAAATAAGTGTCTGAAGGTGATCCCAGATTTAAGATTAAAATCCGTTTGGCTCAGAAAGTAGTAATCCCTGGAAAGGGGTGTGGGCTTATCTGCAGGCAGGAGATGTTTCTTTTGTGATTCGACAGCAAAGGAGAAATTGAAAATTAAATGACTTATGGAAAAAGGAAAATGATGTGGGCTGATGAACTTCAGTTTGGGGCTTTTATTGAGATTTGGCTGTTCTCCTGATGATTAATGCAGTGGAGCTAAAGCTTCCTTCTCTGCCTGAGCTCATTCTGCGTGTCTCTCACCAAAACAGCACTGGTTGCTATGAAATCCCCAAACAGCTTTTGTCAGTGATTCAGTGTGTTCAGAGCTGTTAGCTACGGGAAGGGTTGCCTGCACTGAAATGAAAAGGCTTTTTGTGCAGAAATTCAGACACGATGATGGCTTTTGAATGCTCCTCTGAAACTCCTGAAGAGAGGCCATGCCAAGAACCTACAGATGCCTCTCCCTCATCCCACCCTGTGCTTTCAGCATCACTTTTGGGGCCCTGTGAAGTTGTTCAGCAATATAGAGGTGTTCTGCATGTTGGTTTGAGTCTCATCTCTTGCCACTCTCAGTCTTGCCCATCCATACCATGGAAAGCGAGGTGCCTTCGGCCTGCCCTCATATGGCAGAGAGGTGTTGAGCAAATGGGTGACAGTATATCACAGTAGATCAGGCCCTGTCCCTCCTCCCTGCCTTCTTCCTGTTTTCCTGGGAGAACCTGGGCTTTAATGTGACTGCTTTGGGTGAACCCTGTGGGGATTTCTGACTGTCATGGGCCCCCAAACTGATCCCAGTGCCTTGGCCATTGAGATGTGCACCTGGGTGATTCGTTTCTTATCTCTTCCATCTCTGGAAAGGACGATTATCCCTTATTTATTCCTTCTGAACTGTTTTGTTGGAAGGGGACCAAACATGTGGGTTTGCATGACTGCAGTGTGAAGTGTGGCTGTGTTCATACGGCTGGCATCGTGTGCTGAGGGCTCTGCTGAAACACAGTGGGTGCTGAAGCTCTTCTTGGCTGCAGGGTTGGTTGGTGTGAGGACGCTGGCTGAGTTGGTTAGTGCTGCATAAAGATGTGTTGGTCATTAAAGGTCTGATTACAGGCAAAGCATCCGTGGAGGCTTTGGTGTGATGGACATGTGTGCTTGGTCACCTTCTTGTGATGGGAAGCACAAAATAATGGTTCAGAGAACATGAGAAACCGTTCTGAGTCTTGGAAAGCATTTCTCCTTGTGATTTCTTAGGCTCTGAGCATTGCTTTTTCTCTCATGGAGCTCAATCCCTCATTTCTCACTCTGCAGACTCAGCTCATTCAAATGGTGATATGGATGCTCCAACACCGACTCCTCATTCAGCTCCACACCTACGTCTGTCTGATGGTGCCCCCAAACGAGGAGGAATTCCGTGCCCAGGATGAAGACATGCCCTTCACCGCCAGAGTTGGAGGCCGAAGTTTAAGCACCCCCAATGCTCTTAGCTTTGGTTCTCCAAGTACGAGCCAACTTTGCTCTGCTGTTCATACTGCAGCCTGCTTCTAGCCCTCCTTTTAGCAGTGCCGAGGGTGACAGGTCGTAGCATTAAGATAGCTTGTTGTTACTGGGGTGCTTGCTAACCAGCCCCTGTTCAACGTAGAGCTGGGCATTGGTGGATGTCTGAAGTGCTTCAAGTAGTTCTTTGTAATTTGCTGAGATCTCATTTGGTCATGTCAAAAATTTTAGTATTTATTGGAGGCGCTTCAGTGTGTTTCAGACAGGGAACTTCCTACTTCCTTGCAGTAACTAAAGAGTAACAGCAGTGGTCCTCTGCCTGCACTGCTGTTGCTGCATGGATTCTGGTTAGCAGGAGAGGAATAGCATTGTGAGGATGTGCTATAAGCAGAATTTGTTTCTGTGGGCCGCAGAGCTGCCCTAAGGAAGTGCAGGGCTGTCAGTCTCACAAATGGCTGATTTCTCTTTCCCTGGGCTCTTTAATCTCCTCAGTGCCGTTCATCAGGGTGATTCCAGGAAAGCACATTTTCAAGAGGGCATATGAGATACAATGCTGAAACCCCAGGATGTGGTTATGTCATGCTGTTCTGAGCAGTGTTCTCAGAATGCCAAACAACACTGAGGTTGGATAGTGGGAGAGATTCTCTGTGCAACCTGCAGCTTTACGCAGCTCGTGAATGAGGGCAGAACTCTTGGAACATGAGTCTGATAAGTCTGCGATCTGCTTGTTTTGGCTCACTCACAAGAGGATATTGCTTCTTGGCCTTGCTTTCTGCATGCTTCCATCTTCTGTGTTGTTAGGCTTTTTGTGTTACCACTTCATGGTGTTCCAGCAGAGCTGGCTGGGAATTTTCTCTTCAAATATTTTATGGACTGTTTATAGTCTTCAGAAGTAGAGTTTTCCACATCAATTGATGGTGTTGTTGAAACACTTTACTTTCCCATTGAGAAAATCCCTACATTGTCATATCACAAATTGCAGTTACATGTAGTGTTTCCAGACCCACTTTCTTGGTCCTACAAATCTGAGGGGACTGTTTGGAAAGCCTGCATGGATATGGCCTGAAATGATAATCTGTACTTCATTATGCTGAGCAACATAGAAATTCTGTGTCTCTTCTTTTCCCCTGGTAGCTAGCAGTGATGACATGACTCTGACAAGTCCCAGCATGGATAATTCCAGTGCTGAGTTGATACCTGGCGGGGACTCACCCCTGAATAAAAGGATGACAGAGAATCTCCTGGCAAGCTTGTTGGAACACGAGCGGGAAGCTATTCTCAATGTCCCTGCTGCCCAAAACCCAGAAGATCTTCGCATGTTTGCAAGGTAGGAAATGGGGAATGCAGAGGGTGACCTTTTTTCCCTATCCTTGCTGTTTTATGGGCAGATGGGTGTGGGCTCTTATCAAATACCATTAGCTTGGGATTTTGGAAGATAAATCATTTTGATTTTGTTTCATGTACCTATTTCATACACACACAGCACTTTTGAACAAAAACTAATGTATGTGTCACAAGAACACTTGTTAACAGAGTTCTGCATGGTGAAGGAGCATCAGGACATCTGGTCAGACAAGAGGGCCTTCACTTTTTGCCTTCCAGTTTTGCTGTGTTCACACAGGTAGACATAACTGCCTAGCTTGAGAACATAATTCTAAGCATCCAAAGCAAAGACCTAGTCGTGCTGGTGCTGTCATTTTGTGTCTGTTAGTATTCCCAAGACAGCTGTTATTTATTTTAAGGTTTGTAAACTACATACAAATAGGAGACAAAGGAAAAAAGCACCAGAGGTAAGTCAGCCTCAGCCTTTCCACAGAACAGCCTGCAAAGACTTCCAAGCCTGTTTAGCTGAGAGCTGCTCGTGTGAGTGGGTTATTTAGCTCTGTAGCTTAAAGTCTTGTTCAAATTTCAACACTTAAAATAAGCAAGATGTGGCTCTGCACGTTGTGAAAAGCAGAACGACTTCCCAACAGCTGGGAAAAAAGTGGGGGAATCTCTTTGCTAAGCATTTCAAAACACAGTGGCATCACTGGAACGCCTCTTTCACTGGCTGACGTACTCACAGAGCAGAAAACAACCAGGGGTGAGACCTGCAGCTTTCCTTGATCTTTACAAATGCAGGTGGAATCCCCTGCAGCCTGCTCTGCTCCTCCTGGTTTGCAGCTCAGCTCAGGTGTTTGTGCAGAGCTCTGCGCTGCTGCTGGGTAGACGTCTCCTCCACCTTCTGTAAACTGTTCAGAGGATATTCTCTGCTTGAGTGGCAACACTTTGGACCACTTGAGAACTTTGAAATGTTTTTCTTCATTACTGGAGAAGTGGTTACAAAACCTATGAAAAAGGGAAGGAAAAAAGAAAAAATCATACCCGGTGTTATTTTAAATAAACTCTGTGGGGACACCAGGCTGGTTTAATGGACCGCAGATTGTTAATTATCCTGGAGAGAGGAAAGGATCTCATGATTGCTTCCCCGTCACCTCTTCATCTGGGTGAAACAGCAGCGTGAAAGCTTTTGAATTGCAGATGCCAAAAATGACTTCAGCTTCTTCAGCAAATTGGCTCAGTAAGCAGGCAGCTGCCATAATGATGTTTGCTTTGCAGATTGCCCATGCACCAGGTTCTTTAGCAGAGCCATCCCAGGCATCTGCAGCCTGAATTTCCATTCCGCTGTAGATTGAATTGATGACTGTAACTTACTCTTAAGTCAACAGTGAGGAAGAGAGAAGGTAGAATAAACAAAGCAGCCCTGCGGGTAGGATGCTGGAGTGTAAAAATAGGAATGGTAATGCAAGATGCTCTGGTTGCTTGTGACTTTATGAGGCAGTGTAACTTGGTGGTTCTCTATGTACTTTCTCTCGTGTTGTGCTGTGAACCATCTGAAGTGTCTGGGTAAACCTGTGGCTCTTAATGAGAGTGTAAATAATTGCAGAGAAGCTGCTGCAGTGAATGAGCTGATCCTCCTCATTACCCCAGCAAAGGTTACTGCATCAGCTCTGCTTTCTGCTTCGTCTTCAGGAGCAGCACCTAATGAGGGCTGTGCTATGGCAAATAGCTGTGCTGGATCAGCTGCCTCCCTGAACAAATTCCTGCTATAAATGCGTAGTTAGTGCACTAAATACACTGTAACTGACCTTCCAAGTATAGTTTTGTGTGCACAAAGGGATGGTCTATTTTCAGCAAGGCAGTAAAGTTCAGCCTGATACATTTTTGCGTGCCTATGCCTCTGAACTCCTGGTATTCATTAAACAGATGGCACAGAAGGGACTTGTGTCTGTCCATTGCTATGCACAGCAGTGTTTGCAAGCAGAAACCTTAAGGGGGAAATGAGGAAAATGGGAGCTTGGCTCCAGCGTTGGCTGCATTAACCCTCACAGCGTTGAACCAGAATTCAAAGCCAAGATGTTTCCATAGCTGCTGCTGGAAGAGGGGGACACATCTTTCCAGAATCAACTTGAGAAAGCCACAGGTTCTTTTTGAACCAGATCTTCAGTTATGAGCACAAAGTGTTCCTCACTGCACGTCAACCAGTGCTTTTGTAGACAGGTTGAGGCCTCACTCGTGGCTTCTCTCCCGAGCCATGGGCATAGAGCCACTCTGAGGATTTTCTTTATTGCTCTTAGCTTGAGAAACAGGAGTCCTTTGCTCCATGGAGGAATATTCAGAGGTGACATCAAGCTGTGGACAGTTGTGCTCCATCTTCAAGCAGTGCTGGTGGAAGAGAAGGTCTCTTTGGCCAGACAAGCTAATTTTATTTGAATGACTAAGGTGAAATAGTTGCTTTTGTTGTTGTTTTTTTTTTGATGTGAAGTAGTTTAGGGAACTGCTGTACCACCACACTGCTGATCACAGAGCAGCTCTTGTAAGTCAGAGAAGGGAGAACAGTGCTGAGCAATGGAAAGGAGTCATCTTCCATCACTGCATCTGAATCTGGAGGCACCCATCTGTCAGCAGATGTATTTGTGCAGCTTCAGAAGTCCCAAAAGAAATTGCTGCCCTAAAAACTTCCATCTTATGCCTTGTTTGGGTCCCATAAATATTCACTGCCCAACAAGGTGAAAAAAAGGCTGAAGAAGTTCTCCAGTGCTGGCAGCAGTCCGGCTGGAGCAGTAGCCTGGGCTGGGCTCTGGGGTGTCTTCCAGCAGCATTTTTGTGTTCTTTAATATCCTCTCTAGCTTTTATTGGAATGGAAACTATTTCATCATCACCCGCTACAAATCCAGACTCTTTCTGAATGTAGGGTGGATGTACTTACTGGAAAACCCCTCCATGGTCCGTGTGACTGCTGAAAACCAGGCTGTGATCATTTGCACAGATGGTTGTGCCAGGGAACAGTGACCTGAGCAGCTTCGTAGAGCAAAGAGAGCACCGTGCTTTTCAAATCTCCTTTAAAGTCACTTATTGAGCAGTGATGCAAAGTAGGAGAGGAAGGGCCGGGGCTTCTGTCTGTGTGACAGGTCGGTGCCCACCAAGGGGATGGCTGTACTGACCAGAGGGGACTGGGGGATTTCAGTAGTCATCATGGCTCGAGCTTAGAGTCAGTGTTTAGGATTTCTTTTGGGCCTCTGTTATGCCCAGAGCTTCCCTGGGGCGCCTGTGCCTAAAATTTCCATCTCCCTGCTGCAGCCTCTCCCCCCACCCCCAGACTCATCCAACTTCAGGGCCTGCCTGCCAATACCAACCATGTAATGGACTGCTGTGGGCAAAAATATCCTTTTAGCTTTAACTCTTCTTTTAGAATTATTGACAATCTCAGCAAATGCCGCAGGCTAAGAGACCTTGTGGTACCTTTGCAAGACCCCAGGGTTGTGTTTTCTTGTTACCAATCAGGCCAGCATGGGAGCAGGGCATCCATCCAGAGAGCTGCTGTGAAGCCAAGTGAGCGTGATGGGAATTGGGTACTTCAGGAGATGAGAATTTGGTGGGTAATGGTCCCTGTGCTGCTTTTCCAGGGGAATTCTGTGTGCGAGGCACGGCTGAGCTATGAGCAGATTTCATTCATTTCACTTTGCACCTAAATGAAGGACACAACCCGAATGCCTTCAGGTTGGTGTCCAATTGGAGAGGAGCACGAGGGTGACAGTACCAGTTCTTGCTGTATGCAATTGCTTTTGGCCCACGCCTGCCTTGCTCTCCTTCCTGCAGGCTGCTTCACTACTTCAGAGGCCGACACCACTTGGAGGAGATCATGTACAACGAGAACATGCGGCGCTCGCAGCTGCTGATGCTGTTCGACAAGTTCCGCAGTGTGCTGGTGGTCACCAGCCACGAGGACCCGGTCATTTCGGTTTTTCAGTCCCTCTTGAAATGACTGCTAGTGGAAACTGCCGCGCTCTTGATATTCTGCAAGATGCCTAAAAGAGATGAGTCCAGTTCCTTCTCAGCACACGGTGTACAGCAGGCTCTCTGCTGCTGTGCCTCCATTTCACACCTCCCCGTGCGACAGCTCAGTTCTGTGTGAGGGGCTGTGTGCTCCTTCCCAGCCTGGATTTGTGCCGTGCCACACTCACAGCACAGGAGCTGCTGTCTCGCAGACCTTCCCTGGGACTGCTCCTTCGTTGGGGCTGTTGAGATGGGTGAGAGTGGTCCATGACTTTTACTGGAGTGTTACTGACGTGTGGGTGGATGCTTCGCACCAGAGCTGCTTTCCCTGCTCTCCACCACCACTGAGCAGTGGGTGTTGCTCATGAGCAGCCTGTCCTCACTGCTTGGCCTCTGCTTAAGGGCAGAGTGAAGTTGGCCTGGCTCTTAGGGGAATGATCCTGGGTACTGAGGAATTAATTCTGTCTGACCACTGTTATCCAGAAGCAATGGGGACATAAATAGGAATGCAAAGCATCACAAGTAAACAGCTTTGTGAATGAAAATGATTTACTTGCCTTGTTACAGCTTTCCTCTCCCCAGGACCCTTATTTCAGAATGTCTGTAGGGGCACTGCTGTCACCAGGCAGCCCATTTGTTAGCTGATCTGCAGGTCTGTTTTAAATTGTGATGGGAGGAATTTGGTTGGCTCTGAGGAGGACTGAACCTGGCTGGCTGTGCTGCAGGTGCAGCATTGTATCAGTTCCCCAAAGCTGCAGATTAATGGCAGTCACGCTTGCCCCTCTGGGGCCTGTTTTGCTGCTCTGTCCCACTGTGGTTGCAGGGAAGCAGATTAGGGAGCTGGCCTGCACTAAAGCTGTCCGGATGAAGAACAAGGTACAGGGATGTACATGGCTCTGCTTCCTGATCTGGTCCAGCAATCTTCATTCAGCTATGCCAAGGCTACAACAATAGGCAGCAGCACAGACAGCTGACACTCTTTCTGGCTGCATCATGAACTTAAGCCAGCTGTGATGGTGGAACAGGGCTGGGCTGCCTAGCCAAAGCAGCTGCACTGGCAATTGCTGCTCTGTTCAGGAAGGGAAGACCAAGAGAGAGCCCAGGGTGTCTGCACAGCTCTGTACCCGAGGAGGGTGGGGAGAACTTCCATGGTGCTGGTGGCTTCCAGGGGTGTGTGGTGTGTGAACACAGTCAGGTTCCTCATTTAGACTTTCCCTTATTACACACACAAGTTGGAGCTTTTTCCCAGAGCTGCAGAACTGTGAGTGGAGCTTCACTTGCTCACACAACTAGAGGTGAAAATGTGAGCACTGAACAACTTACCTGCAAGGAACAGCACAGGGCCTGCAGTGCACTGGATACCTGATGGCAGCTACTTCAGCACAGTCCCTTCTGTGAGCCTTCCCTGCAACTGCAAGCAGGGATGTTACAGAAGAACAACAGTGATGTCTGAGCTGGTCAGCACAACACCGACCCACCCAGTCCCCAGCAGCTGCATCTGAAGGTGAGTTAATGAGCCACACATGGCACAGTCTGTTCAGAAGGGGGGGGTCAGGGGGTTTGAAAATTTGAGTTTTTTCTTGCACAAGAATCCCAAATGAGGAGAGAAATCGCTGTCTGGAATGGGCAGGACAGCTGCCTGCTGGTTGTCACCCAGCTGTGAAAAGACAAAGCTTATCCAGGGGCTGCTTGGGGCACAGCACAGTGGTGCCACCAGTGTGGCAGTGGATTATTTGTGCAAGATGTGGCTTGGTGCAGCACAGCACAGGTAAGGCAGGGAGCACCTGTCTGTGGAGAAGCGTGCAGCTAACTTGAGATCCAAGCAACTGTTTGGCCTAGTTGCAGGGCTTGGTGCCACACGTGCAAGGCAAACTGCCAGCATGGCTGCAATTCTATGGATTCTCCCCTGAATCCTATTTTTTCCCTCCCTCTGTACTTCATGGCAGGCTGCAGCTCTGCAGAAAGAGCTGTGAGGCAGAGATCTCAGCATTGGTTCTTTCTCTGTGTTCAGGCTCCCACACTCGTAAACTCTGAACTGGTCTCAAAAGCAGCTGGAAAAAATAAACAAAGCAAAAAACTCACTGGATTTTATAGAATAGTGTAGGTTGGTCAGGGTCTCTAGAGATCTTCTGTCCAAATTCTGCTCAGAGAAAATGTTACATGAGGTCAATCAGGAGCTTGTATGGTGGTCTGATTGCTCCCAGTTCCAGCATTTGACCACCCTCATGGTGAAACAGTTTTCCATGTAGCTAATGAGAATTTCCTGTTTTCTAGCTTGTGCCCATTACATCTCATCCTGTCCCTGTGTACCTCTGACAAAACTCTGGCTCTGCCTTCTCTGCACCCTCCCACTAGGCAGCTGTAGTCAGCAGCAGGATTCTTTCTCCTCCTCATCTCCAGACTGATCAAAACCAGCTCTCTCAGTTTCTGACAGCCCTACTGCCACCCACTCTTTTGGCATTCCACTGAAGAAACCAAGTCTTCTGGCCTCTCCTGGGAACCAGCACAAAGAGGAGCAACACAGCAGGTCAAAGCGGTGAGCTTTCACTAGTCATCCACCTTACCAGAGCCTGGATCCATTCACAAGAGAGAAAGTGGCTTTCAGTGCTCAAATCCAACCTCAGTTCTGGCTGGAAGATTCACTCTAGTCTGCCCCATGAATAAAATTCCACCTTGCTGCAATAAAGTTATGTTTATTGTTAAAAACCTCCAAGCTGCCCTTGCTGCTGCCCCAACACGGCTTGAGGCTCTCCAAAAGAGCACACAGCTCAAGTCCTGGTTGGTGGCACACTTGCAAGATTCATCAGCTGCAAGAGATGGGTTCCATTGCTGCCATCTCTCGCTCCATTTTCTTGTCTACAACACTCACAAATTTGTTTCCTCTTAAATAAAACCTGAGAGGTTTCTGTGACCATTCCCCTCTGTTCCCAATACCAATCCTGGTTGTGGCTACCACGTCCTGCTCCCTGGGCAGCTCCTGTCCAGGTACCATCCAGATTGCCGCGTCTTGAGTCAGGTCCCTTTGGTCAAAAGCCTTATCAATCCCAAATGCTTGGCAGAGCTTGGAGGGCCCATTACACAGCTGCCAGTCCTTCAGTGGCTTTGCAGGTCCTTTCCTTGAAGTGCTGCGCAGCTCCCTCATCACATCCAAACCCTGGAGAGGCTCCAGAGAGCGGAGTAAGACTGCAGCCCCTTCCCCTGTGCAGAAAAAGAGGCACGTGTTAGTACAGGTTTGTTTGGAAGGAATATCTCAGCAGAAGCACTTCAGTTGCATTCCCTGCCCCTGGCAGAGCAGGGAGTTGCCTGCAGCATCTGTGCTTCCCTCAGACTGCTAAGCCGTGGTCAGTGCACTCCTTCCCCTATGCTGAATGTCCAGCATCCCACAGCTCTGTGTACTTGATTCACCTCACCCAGCCCCACTTCCTGATGTTCCTAGGCCAAGCTGCAGCTCCAAGGCTTGCCAGAGGGCAAGAGGTTTTTCTTATATCACCACGATGTTGAGGAATAAATACACATATGGTTCAGTTTTGGCGTAACTATCCAAAACTGCTCCCAAACCCAGTGGATTTATAATAAACTCTGATGATAAGGTCTCCAGCCAGCAAATGAGAGGAGAAAGAAGTCGAGATGCTGCCAACAGAACGAGGCAGAGCTGGACTGGAGGAGGGTTTCTGGCATGAAACTGTGGGGGCCGCTCTGAAGGAGCCCTGGGTGGAAGCATTACTGATCCAAGCGACGGGCTGAGGTGTGGGTGTGACAAACACGGCCTTGGGTGATACAGAGGAGCGAGGTCAGCGTCCTCGTGCCAGGGAAGCTCTTGTGAGATGGGTGCTGGGGTAGCAGGAGGCTGCACAGCCCTGGGAGCATCGCTTCAGCAGAGACAGCCCCACCTGTGACAAGAAGTGAAGAAAACTCCTACTTTCTTCTCCAATGTGATTCATCACCCTGCCAGGAAGGAGCCTAGGAACTTATGGCCCTCCACAGCCACTGTGACCAGCTGCTCCCCCTCATTTTGGTGAGGGCGAAGCAACGAGGCAGCTCTGAGCAGAGAAAATCCCCTGCAAGGAGGATTTCCAGCCCAAGTGGGACAGAAATACTTCTCCAGTATTTTCCATCAGAAAGCGGGGAATGTCTTCTTCTGACCCTGAGTGGGAGAGGTGAGGGCCTGGCAATGCAGCCTGTGTGCTGCCCCACACAGTGCTTGTTGTGCGGGGCTGCCCACGGCATTCCTCCCCTCCGCCTCAGCACTGGGGATGCTGCTCTGCAAGGACTTCCTTTCCCTCTCCAGCCGCAAACATCTGGAGCTGTGCTCAAGCCTGGCGAAGGCTGTTGTAGCCCAGCAGATCCCCAGGGACCCGCAATTCCCCAAAATAGATTCCCTCTCCTATTTTGTGAAGTGCCACAACAAGCCGCTCTCAGCTCACAAACTGAAAGCCCGATCTCTTGCTGTTGCCAGGTGTGCCTCCTGCTTTGCACTGCTCAGAGCCCCCCTGCCCTCTGCACAGCTCCGTGAAGCAAACACTTCCAACAGCTGTCCACAATCTGTTTGCAGGCACTCCCTTTGCTAAGGAAGGGGATGAGGCTAATCTGGCAGCCAAAAGCTGCTACAGTGATTTAGAGCTCAAAGGTCATTTTAGATTTTTAAGAACATCCTCCACGTCCTAGTTCTGCTTTTCATCCATGCACACAGAAATATCCTTCACGTTGGGATGCTCTCACCAACTGTGAGATTCTGAGGAACTGCTAATTACACTCCTTGCCCTCATCCATCACAAATGCAAGTAGAAACTGCGGGCACTTGAATTCAAGTGTCCTTGTGAGCTGATGTGAATAAAGGCACATGCTGAGAGCAGCTGCAGTGCTCCCAGACCCCCACACAGCAGGAGCAGGGTACCTGGCATTTGTCTCTGGCTGCTCTGTGAGCATTTCCACTGGAAAGCTTTCCAACTCTTTCTAGCTGTGTGCAGAACAGATGAGAGTTAGAGCAAGACGGCCAGGGGAAGACAGGAGCTCAGGGATGCCACAGTGAGCTACTGCTTTCTCTGCCCACCTCCTCCAGAGGTGGACATTTGGGACCGCTTGAGGGTGCTTGCACATCAGTTTTCTTTAACCACTAACCAGTAGCTGCATCCTTCTGGCTCACCTCCTGCCTGCCAGGGTGCTGCAGCCTTCTCTGTGCAGCCTTCTCTGTGCAGCCTTCTCTGTGCGGCCTTCTCTGTGCAGCCTGCCCAGCTTGCTCCCAGGGCTACCTGCCTTCAGCACTGCCTGACACAGACACTGCTGCTGCCATGCCATTGGCAGCAGTGCCCATCCTGTGCTCCAGCCCAGAAGCACCACACATTGCCCTCCCACGCCTTGCAGAGTCGCTCCATGTAAGGAGCAGATTTAGAGCTAAAAGCTGGGATCTGACAACAAGAAAGAGGCTGGTTCTGTCCTTGGGCAGTCAGGAATCACAGAACGATAAGGAAGTCCCACACCCGCGCTGCGCTGCTCGCTTCTCCTTCCCTGGACTGAGTCCAGCTCTCACTCTTGGAAACAGCTCTTGGCCGCTGGAGAGAAGAAAATTTTCTCCTCTCTCCACCCATCTGACTCACTGCTCCCAAAACACTTCCTTCAAAGTCCCGGTCTGGGATCCCCGCTGTGTGACCCCACGCCTGGGTACAGAAGCACCGGGATCCCCATTTTACAAGAGATTACTTCAGGTCTGGCAGCAAAATGCTCACATTGGCAAAATCCTGACAAACAAACCACAGCAAAGTCAAAGAGAAGCTCGACCAGCAATTGCTGCCTTCCTGAAGCAAGGGAAGCCCAGTGTGTCTCTCAGCTCTTGGGAAGTGTCTCTGTGCTAAGATGATCCTGCTGCCAGCACCAAGATGCGCTGTGGGATCCACGTGCACTGAGACATTGGGTAGATTTTGCTATCATTTAGGATTTCTCCTTGAAGCAATGTAGAGACACACAGCATGGCTACCAGCAGCAAGAGGAAGGCCCCTTCCAGTAAAATCCCATAGGACCCAGCTTTACCTCAACGATGTACACAAAGATCCCCCCTTCTTCCCTTTATTATTTGCCAGTATTTCAAATGCTGAGAGCCCCGTTTTGAACAAAGAATCATTCTGCTTTCATTATCTGAACAGCTTTGGCAGAGACATGGTAATGCAGTTCCCATGTGTTCATCCATCAGACTCCAGACTTCCACTTAGGAAGACAGGCTCTTTCCCCACACTATTACCTGGCACTGTTTTTCTGCTTGGCTACCTTCCAAAGGCCAAAACCAGAGGGCTAATGGTCATCATCACAACACATTCTGCTGTGGAATATACAATATGCTGTATCTTGGAAATGGAGGAAAAGAGTTTTTTGAGATTTTTCAAACAAAATCAGTGTTTAAGGAACACATACTGCAGCTTCAAGGTACGTAATTACATTCCTTTTCTGAGGCAAAAACTATCATCTGTAAGGAAAACAACACCTGCTTGTTAAAAGGAGAATCATTTGATTAAAGATTGGTTATATTATCATGAGAGCAATAAAGGAGGATTGCAGATCCTGTCACAGCCTGCTTTTGAGATTTTCTTTTTTAGTTTTTCTTGAAGATAAAGCAAAGCAGCTAAAAAGCTTCTGTAGCAACTCAGATATTAATGCTCAGACATCTTAGACCTTTTTGTTTTCCTTGGCATTTAGTTTCTGGGGATAAAGGCAGGAGACAGAAAACTTTCTTCTCCTGACAGTGAACACCAAGATTTAGACTTTCACTAGACTGCAAGTTTCTTTTCACACCACCACCCTGAAGAAATAAAGTGCACTGCATCACACAGATAAGGCATCGGCTCAGGTCATCCAAACTGAAAGCACCATCCTGTAAAGATTCCCATCCAGTCCTTCATCTTTATTTCTGCATCTGAACAGCTCAAGGAACTCACAGCTGGGACCAAAATCCCAGCTGGCCGTGTAGCCAGAGATGGCCCTGCTCACAGTGTTTGAAGCTGACACATAGGCACTGTGCTTTGGCCTCAACTCACCTTGGCTGGAAACGTTCACGCAGAAATAAATCCCATAGATCTGGTACACGTACAGAGTGCCTGGTTTCATGAACATGGCTGCGTTCCGTTGAGTTTGCTTCCCACCTTTTGAGTGAGAAGCCTCATCTTCCCCACCAAGATAAGCTTCTGTTTCAACAATCCTCCCCCAGAGCTCCCTGCCGTCGGGAAGTTTGCGAACTAGAATCTGGAACAGGTCAGAGGGCATCAGTTAGCAACAGCCCCTGTGCCAAGTAAGCAGAGCACAAGGCTTCTTGAGGCAAAGTCATCAGAAAAAGGGCCCTTAGGGCAGTGCCCGCTCTCCTCTCACTCTCTGAATGCAGTCTGTAAGCTGGCATGAACGATTCCAATTTCAACTGTCTGGACCACATCCCAGTACACCAAGTTTCTACCTATCGTTCACCCAGCAAAATGCTTGGGGTGCAAAGCTGTGGCAGTATCGTACAGAATTAATTTATGACCACATGTACAACAAAGCAGCAATCTGCACAGCCCACAGAACTGCTTCTGTGGTTCTTTTCTGCATTCTCACCCCAAACCACCAGGACAGCAACTGCAGTGATTGGACAGACCCTTGGGGGTGTTTCAAAAAGTCCTGGCACCTAACTCTAGAGATAACCATAACTGAAACATCAGTGCTGCTTCTGTGTTTTCTGCACTGTGTAGAGGAGCAGGGCAGGAGAGCTGGTAACTGGCCTGGGGCAGGAAAAGCAGGTCTTTGTCACTGCAGCGTGCTCCTCCTCGCTGCCAGCTCCTTAAAACCAAGTAGATGAGGAAAGGAAAAATAAACAGCCACAACTCTGAAAAGATTCTCCTGAAGAAGATAAAACAATGAGTGAACTCCTTACAAAGCTGCAATTCCTGCCTCTCATGCTTTCCTCACAGTATTTCCCAATTAATTGAAAACATCAGTATTTTATTGTTGTGAAAAACAATGACTTCAGAAAAGTACTGGTGCATGTGAATGCTCCAAAAGCACACCCATGTGGCCAAACTGCTCTCTCAGTACAATGAGAAGCAGTGGTAAGGTTAGTTTTAAGGGTATGCAGGCATTTCCCTGCCTCTTCTGACAACATATCTGCAGCTGAAACAGTTAAATGCAGTAAGTAATACTAGTGCAGAAAGCACCTCCAAGATCTGGCAGAACAAAGATAACAAAACACTGAATTATTGTTATTATAACTGCAGTTATATGAGAACAAGAGCACAGATTGGGTCACAGGAGGACCTAAGTTATACTTCAAAGAAAATGTTACAGTGACATTGAATTTGCCTGGTTTGTAATTCTAGGCCTAAAGAGGAAAAGGATCGAATTAGGAGTAAAGTATTATCTGCCTATTTAACATCTGAGGATGTTAAAGACATTGAGACACCAAAAAATGCATTAGTGGGCAGCTTCAGGTGTCTTCATACACAGCAAGCAAATCTCACAGTGCGATGGGACACGGACTGTATCTTCCAGACACCAAAAAGTGCTTTGCAGAGTCAGTCATCAGGGACCCCCCAAGAGAAAACAAAGCTCACAAACTGATCCAAACTCTTCGCCAAAGACTCAGCACTGAAAAACAACTTTGTGTCATGACCATGAAGCCTAAAATTCAGGATCCTTACACAAGTATTAAGGTCCAAAAATAATCTGTTACAGTGTTGCTTATCAGCAAAAAGGGAAACTACATAAAACAAGGAAGCTTGTTAAGAACTTAAAAGAGACAGCCAGAAGTCAAAGCAGGAAAGGCAAACTTCTAGCAGGATGTCTATAAGGAGAGAAAATACATTTGATGTATAAGAGAGAGGTTGAGAAAGACCAAAAATAAACACAGCAGGAGCAAAGCAGAGCAAAGGTGTCCATTACACGCAAGACAATATCCTTCAGAAGTAAAACCAATGGTAGACACAGAGATACAGCCCAAAACAAAGTTACTGCAACAAATTCCTGAAGTATCTAAAGCAAAGAGAGCCCAGGAAGTTTCTTCACCCTACAAGTAATAAAAATATAAAGAGGACTCAGCAAAGGTAAGATCACAGCACTGGTACTAAAAACACATTTTGCAATTGTGTTTACAAGGTTCCCAGACTCAAAACTGTTTACAGGGACAACACTGGAGGAACTCTGAAATGAAAAGAGAGTTTTTTGAAGGACTCGCTGAGCAGAAGAGACACAGTTTAGCTCCCCTCCTCCCAGAGGCAGGGTCCAAAGATTCCTCAGCATTTCTGCATTGGGAAAAGGGAGGAGGTCCTTTCATGAACAGGTGATGACTTAAAACCTCAGGAACTGAAGGTAGAAAGAACAGGTTTCACAGTGAACAGGGTTTAACTGCAGAGCTGTGGAGTCCCAGAGGCCTCCATGCCAGGGCCTGGGCTGCCTCACATATTTCTGTTCATAATGTGGGAGAGGTGAGCACCAGCTCTACTGGTAAGCCTGAATTATTCAGAACTGCAAAAATAAAAGGAGGCAGATGGAGCTTTTAGAGCATACAAGGCAGCATAAAGGAAAGTATCAAGCAGGCTGCTGCACTGCCAGGTGAGAATAAAGTATGTCAGTACACCACGACAGGGGATATCAGTCAAAAAAGGCCAAGGACCTGCTATTAGCATCATGAGGTAATCAAATGGAGGGAGAGGAGGAAATGATGCTGGCTGCACAGCATTACTTTCCAGTGGGAAAACCAGGAGCCAAAAACAAATATAGAAGTACCTGAAGGGAAAATAATTGGCCTTAAACAACCTTCAAACCACAAACAGCAAAGTGTGTTTCAGTAAGCCAGAAAAAAGGAGGAACTCCACAAAAAATAAACTAATTCTGAAGTGCAACAGTAAATTAAACCTAAACAATACCTCTGTGACTACATCCAAAATAGATTTAATCACTAGTCTTCAATTTAACAGAATTTTACAAGAAAAATAATGAGAACAGTACTCCTGAAATAGCAGAGCCCCGGAGGCAAACTGCAAAAAGAAAAAGATCATCCCTTTACATTAAATTATTATTGTACTGCAGCATATAGAGCTGGTGTCAGTGTTATGGCTTACCTGTCCCAGGAAGGATTTGGCCAGGCTGATACAGGGCTGGTTGAAGAAATCTGCTTCCAGTTGGGAAGATTGTTTTTTCTCTGTTACAAAATATTTGCTGCTTGTTGGAGAAGAGTTGCCATCAGGAGTCGTGGTGGGGCTCTTCAAGGCATCAGAAAGAGGGATGCTGGAGTTGCTTTGGAGGGCGCTTAATTGAGCCAACAGCTTTCTTTTCCTTGACATAGTGCTAGGAAATAAATGCAAACGTATTTGGAAATGTAAAGATTATTTTAAAGTAATTCATTTCCACGAATTCTTATTTTTAATACAAAGGCTCTGAAAGCTATTACTGATTACACAGTGCAGGCAAAGCACAGGAGCAGGTGACATTCAGCTGGATTTACGCCAGGCTAGGCAAATATTGGGCTCTACTGACATGCAAACAGAATACTGCAGTTTGAGCTTTCATCTTTTAAGGGCTTAAGATAACAATAAACTCTGGTCCACGTAGCAGTAAAAATATGTTTGCTAACTGTTAGGTTAGGAAACACAAAAGTAAAGGTAAACCTGTGTCATCTTCTTTCCACTGAGAACTTGAATAATCTATTAAGCAGACAAAATGAAAACACTTCTAAAAGTGCTGGTTCAAAAAGTTCACAGAAGTGACATATCAATCATTTTAAATAGTGATGTAATGGGTAAGAATCCAAATCCCCATGGGACGCAGAACACTGGAGCTGGGAGATGCCTGATTTACGGTCACTGTCAAGCTTGTCACACTGCAGAAATGAGTGCACTGAGATCTCCACAAAGCAAGGCTTCAGCTCACCTACCAAAGAGATGAAGAACAGTGTGTTCCAAACTACAGAACGTATCTGTGACAACTGCATAACCTGAAGTTGTTCTTCCAGGTTCGTCACCAATGTGCTGGCTTCAAAAAGTTGGTGTGTCTTTTTCTGTGCTGCAGTCCTTACTCTTGTCAAACCAGAACAAACTTGTTCTATAAAGCTCTTTGAAATGTCTGCTGGCTAACAGCACAGTGTGGAAGCTGGGGGTGATGGATTAGCACTGAGGCTGCAACCAGCTTTGGTTGGAGGTATTTTAGTGCAACATCTGCACTCTGTATTGCAATAATTCAGCCATGTCAGAGACTTGCCATAGAATTGCCAACTCCATGTCAGCTGTTCTGCTCTGCTCTATAGCTTTCACTTTGTGGCAACTCCTAAAAATGTCACTAGAAGCCACTTACCTCGCTCAGACTAAATTGCCTGATGGCCTTTGCAAATATGAGTCCTGTCTGGGAAGGAGGATGTGAACAGCACAAAGTTCAGGAAGGAAGGGACAAAAGAGGAACACTTCTCCATATCAGGCTAACTTCTAAAAAGTCAACCAAGTGAATGTTTCCTGCTAAAAACTGCTTCCAGGCTTCTCTGACAGCATTAACTGGAACTACATGAAGACATGCTGAAAACGTAACCCATCTGTGTGAGCATGAACTGCACTGGCAATTTGTGCTTTTATGGAGTGCAGCATCAGACACAGGACCTGAGCTGCCCGACACCTGCTGCCCTTGCAGTTAAGTTGTTCTTAGGGGATACGAGTGCTCTTACACAAACATCACACTGGCAGCCCAAGGGCACTTGTAATGTCATTGCTATAGGCTGATCCTACACAGACCTCAGCGTCTTCACCTCTCATTAGAGGCAGCAGTAGGATACTGCCTTCTAGTCATGAGAAATTCAGAGCCTACAACATGTGATTGCTTTAAAAGCAATAACAGAGTGAAGGGAATGCAATACTGTCTCAGAAATCCAGAAAAGCCCCAATGCATGCTTTGTGCTTGCCCATGCCACGATACAAGACATAAAACTATGCCTCAAAGCCTATCTGCTTTTTCTATGAAGGATGTTACCTGTATGTACAAATCCCTTCTTGCGTAGGAAGAAACACAGTGTAGGCATCAGTGCATTTCAAGTACCCAAGCCCTGTTCATTTGGGAAGTAAGAGACACCATCTCTTCACATGCAGGTCTGCAGACAAATCCCACGGCCTTGAGACTGTGTGCCCCCAAATAAGAACCAGCTGTGGATTCATTCCATTTTTACTAATTCTGCTGTAACCAAACCAGCTGCAAGTTGTGAAGCACCTGTGTGCACACATAAAGAAGCAGAGAAGTCAGAAGAGAAAGATTAAGAACTGAACAGCTCTGTGCAGTGCCTGAAGTGTTCAGGCCTGCTGGGCTATTCTCAGACAATTGTTTAGGGCCCCTGTAAGCCAGAATCAGAAACACTGAAACTGATGTAAAAATACAGTGTATGCAAGGCTACATTGCCACTTCTGGAGAAACAATTCCTTTACAATTCCCAGCTGTACAGATTTGTATATACAAATAGCACAGTGGGCAAAACCAAAGGACATTTCTTCCCGCATCCTGCTCTCATCACAGGTCAAAAGCAGAAGGCAAGGAAAGAATAGAAGGAACACACAGTACTTCTCCAAGCATCCTCCACATCTCTGGCCAGAGACCTTTGAAGCAAGCACAGCTCCATGTGCTTCATAACCACGAGCTCTATCCAGTGGTCCTCTGAACCAAGGTAACATCACCCAACCACACTGCAACAACCACCACTTACCTACACCCTGCTACACGTTCCCTTAAGGAGTTCTGGGCCTGCCTCTCACAAAATGCACTTTGGTTCTCCCTACTTCTCGTATTTGCAAGAGACGTGGTAAAGCATGCCTTGCCTTTACTGAAGAAGAATGCATCACAGAAGTAGTCATTGCAGCTCCAAAAACTCACTCGTTTTGTGTGTGAAATTAGGACTGCTCCCCGGCCACATGAATCAGTTTGCATTTACAATTCACCAGTCACCCTTCCTCTTCACCTCCTAAAATAATGTTAAACCAGCTGGAAACATTGTGACAGTCAGCACCCTGCCCCTTTTCCAGGTCACTGCAAAATGTTGCTCAGCACATCCTTGCACCACTCTAGAGGTGACCTCCACTCTGAAGGCTGCCTATTTACTCACACCCTCTCTCCTATCTTTGCACAGTGTTTAGGATGGGAATCATCTTATTGAGGCAGGAGTTGCTCACACTGAACCAGAGGGCTGCAGCCATTTCTCTGGAGAACAGTGTAAGAAGAGGCAGAAAAACCTTCCTGAAAGAAGGGTGCAGGCAGGGGTTGATAATGTAATCACAAATACTACATCAGTTTCTTCAGAGACAGACTTTGATAGTATTTGCAATCCCACTCATACCCCCAAAGGATGGTAAAATAAACAATGACTGTATACACCTTACTGACTGCTCTGTAGGTCTGGCAATGTCATTTCCTGCACACAATCCTTCCAGCTCCAGTCTGTGCTCCTACTGCCTGCTGGACATCTTGAGCTTTTCAGAGTGAAAAATAATCATCCTTTTGTGAAGACCAAAGAAGACACAAATTGAGAGAAAGCAATGAAACATCATGAAGAAAAAAAAATCCCTCATCAAAACTCCCCTTAATTTTGGCTGACTTTCTTAAGTCACTTTATTCTATCCTAATTCTTCCCCACCATTCTAGCAGTGTGACAAAGCTGCATGAAATGAAAGCACGCAAGTTAAGTATAATACTGGCAACGGATGTTAGTTAGCTCAGTCCCCAGAGACCCAAGTTAACCAAGCCATTATCAAGCAGCATTCAGTGAGGCCACAAACACTGACAGGCAGTTCCGTTTTCTGATGCACATCGACATCATGTGCAGCAAATGTCCTTTGGGAATGTCTGGCGAATCATCCAAAAACTCTGAGTAATTTTTTTTCCACTTACATGACGGCACTGAAAACACTCATGATTTGTAAAGTTCACTGAATGACCAAAGATGTCTTTCTCATTAATACATTGATAAAAAGGAAAACCTGTGACTGAAACCCTCAAACATCCAGATAATATCCAGAGATATTATACTTAAGGGCTTCTGTTGAAGCACAGCAACTGAAGGACCAGGAGGAAAGGCACAGAGCACAAAGATTTACCCACAGAAGCATCCTGGCGTTGCTCCCTGCATAAGCAAAGAAGCAGAAGGTGCTCATGGTTCCTCCTCAGCTCAAACCCACAGAGAGGATCAGCTGCATACCCAGTCCTACCTACAGAGGAGTAATATCTGAAGTCCTATGAGAAAGTTTTGACAGGTAGGGGTATGGGACAGATAATTTCCTCCAGATTTCAGGCCAGCTTAAAAAGTCTTAGTATTGAAGCCCTGCACAAACAGCCTGAACTCTCCAGCAAAACCAGATGCAGAAAATCAGTCATGAAACAAACTCAGTAACAGCCAAGATGCTGCTCTAAGAGATTCAACTGAGACACTGAATCACACATGCTATGAACTTGGGTCTGTGAGTGAGAAAGTGCCTTTCTTCTATTTTCAGGGGAAAGATTTCCTACATTTAGTGATTTGGGATTAATCTGTATGGTTACAGGGAGAATATTTGTCTGTGTTTTGCATTGTATTACCAGACACAGTCAAATAATTAAAGTAAGAAAACAAAATACTGACTCGAGGCTTTAATGGATGATGATGTGCAGAGACACACTTGTAAATGCAGGTTAAGATGAATAGCTGATGTCCACCACAATAGCAAGCACCTTCAGAACGCCAGAACGAAGCCTTCGGGCTCTACATCAACAAAGGATCTGAGGAGTGGGGACAATTTCCCTCACAGCTCTGGATCACATGCTGTATGTGAGCCTGCTACTGGTGAGACACAAAACTTCTGATAACACAGGAACAAAAGCTAACGCCTCTCCTATAACGAGACACTTCCAGGAAGCTATGAAATCACTGCTTACTGTAAAGGCTGTGAAAATCTGAGTCAAACATAGACACAAACCAGCTGACCTCAAACGCTTTCCCTTTCACATGGCAATCTTATTTAGAAGAGATTTTCAAAGCAGATCTTCCAGTCAGATGGCATTCCTGTACTTGGGCATCCCTCCTCCTGAACGGGTCCAAATCCTGTCACTTCTGTAGACCATACACACCTGCACAGTGGTTGAACTTCCAGCGTTCAGCTACAAGATCCCTCTTCTCTGAGATCTCTGCACCACCTGTCACTGACTCCACAGCCTTTCACCTAATGCACAGGCAGGCCAAAGGAAGCTCCCTGCAGAACAGGAGCAACGTGACAGGAAACCACAGTGCAGCCTTATTCAAACTGCATGTGTATACATTACTGCACAGCTGGTCAGGCCGCGTTCCGCCCAGCCCGAATGCATGCACACAGTGGGGACGGGTGATTGGAGATTCGTGACCCTTGAGGTCCCTTCCAACCCTGGCCATTCTGTGATTCTCAGCGTCCATTACAGCCTTTGCAACATCGCTGACTCACAGCACACAGAAAATAAGTTTTTAGAGGAGCGATGCTTGAGGACGCAGCCCCGTAACGTGGAAACAAACAGCACCGATAACTGCGCCGACAGCTGGGTGAGACCTCGCAGCCTTTTTGACGACAAACCCCGACACATTCGCCGTTCCTGACGGCACAAAAGAGCAGTCAGGGCCGCGCTGAGAACAGCCCAGAAGCGCACGGCTCTCACACCACAGGACGCGTTTATACTCCAACGCCCGGCCCGCCGACACCCGCTCGGCCCACCCGGGGCGCAGAGAGGACAAGGGCTCCCCGGGACGCCCCGCATCCCGCCAGGCCTCGCTGCGGCCTGCAGGCGGCCCAGCCGCGCCGCGCACGCACCTACCGGGCCGCGCTCCGCCGTTGGGCGCAGCCGGGCGGGGCGGGGCGGGCTGCGGCGGGGCGGGCTGCTGAGGGGAGCCGCCTCCTTTCGTACGGCTGGGCCTCGGACCGCGGCGGCCTGCGTGGAGGGGCGGCCGCGTATTGGCTTTCCTTGGCTCGTGAAGCGTTCTGTGCGTTTTTGGCTTTGCCTCATCATCGCCTCTGCAGCACGCTGCTCTCTCCTATGAATAAAGCTCAGGGCCACAGGCCGACTTTACAGAGGGCTCCCTGAACGAGTGCCTGGCCTGCAGGAGATTCTCGGCTTTTACCCAGATGAGCGCAGGCTCAAAACGCAGCTTTCCTCGTTGCGTTCTGGAGACACGCAGCTGGGGCTGTTGGTTCCTAAGTGATTCCTACAGTAAAATGTCCTAACGATACTTAGCACTGCGCCAGCTGTGCGGGGTGTGCAGGAGGCAGCCGTGCCAAGAAGCAGCATTTAGCATCATCTAATTCATAAACTTGCGGGTAGTTATCTCCCAGTATAGGAAGGAGGGAGTTGCTGGGTTGGTTTTTACTTGATTCACTTCCAACTGTTACTACATCCAAAGTCCTCCATGCAACACCCTGTGCTTGCTTTATTTTCTTCATGCTTTACTCATCAGTGGTCCAAGAAAGGGAAGAAAATTTATGGACGTTTTAATTGGAGATCTCTACAGCACTTTGTTTTGCTAAAATGGACGCAGATAAGCTCACAGTAGTTAGAATTCCTTGGGGAGATGTTATTGTCTGGCTGCACTTTGCTTCAGTCTAAAATCAGTTTCTTGTGCTATTAGCAAAGAAATCAGGACATGTGAAAAAAAAAAAAAAAGAAAAAAAAGTGTAAGCGGTGTTGACTGAGTTCTCCAGAATTCTGAGAATTCTCCAGAAGGGCTTTGTTAGCATCTTGGACCCCCTCACTCACATGGTTAACATCCAGCCTTAATGTCATGTTAATCTAAGAAGGAAGGCCAAGAATGTGTATGGAAAGGTGGACAGCCAATCATCAAATTGGCCTTTCAGCAAATCCTGAAAATTCAAGGCAAAACGAGGCAAGAATGAGAGATGTGGAAAGGACTTCCTGGGGTCAGAGCAGTTCAGCTCTGCAGACTTTCTCCTATGGGAATCTGTGGGACAGGCACTGTGAGGAATGCTGGCTTCTTTGATGGCAGATCTGTTTCATACCCAGAGGAAGTATTCCAAGCTTTTAGCACCTGAGGAATGTGAATCGTTCAAAGCTACAGTGTATACCGTGTTCTTCATTTGTCCAATAACTTCACTATTACGGAATCAACACCTAAAATAGCCTCCTGTAAAAGCTGATTAGTTTGGGAAGATTAAAGGGAAGATTAAAGTTTCCCCCTCTATTGGGCAAAAGCATTTTTTATGTTTTCCTTAAAAGAAATGGAGTCCACTGTTGGAAAATCTGGCTATTGGAGTCCTGGGCTCTGTGGCACACTGCATGTGTACAGTGCTTGCAAACTGGTTCCCCCCAGCTTCCAGGATGTGCAGACAGCAGATCAGCATGAAAGCAGAAGAAAGCTTAAGGGGCAGATGTCCAAATTTTTTCATCATGTAAGATGCCAAAACTTTCGTGATATTTGTGGAAATGGGATTTTGTGTTCAATTAGAAGGACACACGAAGTCAGTTCCCCACAGTGATGCTGACTGGTCACTTGCTGTGGCCACATAACTCTCACCAGGATTTGCAAGTCAGCTGCAAAATGTAATGGGCCACCTATTGGTGGATGAAGAAGTTCCAAGCAGCATAGGGATTTTATGACATCCACTCCTGGCCTCCCGTGACATCCAGTCTTGGTTGCTGCTGCCTCCTTCGCTTCAATTCCCAGTGTGTCTTGTTCAGAGCTATTCCCAGCCAGTGCGTTAGAGGTATGTACACATGGTCCTCAAATTAGTACCAGAGCTATCCGGCTACTGGGAGAAAGGCTCATAGCCACTTTGGTATCTCCCACACCCAAGCTGGGCCATGGATCAAATATCTAGTTCTGTGAACCAAGCCCATTCAACTTGTTATGTAAGCAGATGTGTATGCTTTATTCTAAATTTGGTGACATCCATGATGGATGCCATTCCACCCACTTTGTACTCGGAGTGCAAAGAATCCTAGCAAGTGCATTGCATGTAATGGGAAAACAGAATATTAACAGACCTCCTGGGAACCTCAGCTCTGGGCCAGAGAGGGAAGGCAAGTCTTATTTAGTAACATATTAATGGATTTTATTGGGTCTCTATTTTTGTTTTGGATGCAGGACATTTTGGTTCTCTGACATGACAGAAATGTTTTGCTTTACAGGATCACTCAATGCAGAGGAACAAATAGAAAAAAAACAAGCAGGCTGGTCTGCTGGGTTTTGGTGGTGTTGATGCGCCTGGGATCTCTCCCAGCTGCATGGGGCAGGACTGGTGGGAAGCTGGAGACAGAGACCAAAAGGTCTGCTGAACTGACTGGATGTTGGGAGACATGGGATGGAGCTGCCACAAGCCAGCAGCCAGGCTGTTCTAAAAACTGCATTTTCTTTTCTGAAGGTGTTAAAGATGGTTTATTCAGTGTTGCTTAAATCAGTAGAAGTCATACTGCATGCTTGACTTATAAATATAGTGGGAAGGAACTGTGTACATGCGTATGCATGTATGTATATGTATGTATGTATATAAAGTCAGAGCTTTGCAAGCCTAAGAGCTACCAGCCACCTCCAGCACTGCCCATCTGCAAAGAGTGCCCAGAATGTCCTGGATGCAGGGAAAATGCCACTTTCAGTGCTCTTTGCCTCCAGGCACTTATTCTTGTCCCTGTCCTGCATAGCAGCTTCCCCTCCACTGTGCTGGCACAGTAACTTGCAGACCTGTGCTTAAACCAGCTCCTAGAACTGGTTCTTCTGAGGAAAGGAAGTGTGAGAGTGGTGTGATGGTGCAGAGCTGTCTACCCCTGTGAAAGCACGCAAGCGTGTCTGTAATCCCTGGACCAGCAACAGATCACCTTTGGCATGCATAGGCTAGAGCAGTAAGAGGAGAAGCAGGCACAAATGAGACGCATCAGCAGAGCTGAGGTCAGGGCAACAAACTGAATAACGCTTTTTCTGCAACCTGTGCAATGTCAGCATGCAATGGCGTGGAGTAGTTCAGGTAAGCTTTAGCACTGTCTCCCAAGAGATGAAAAATGTAGAAACTAAGATGCAGCTGAGCTGCTTCTGAACATTTGTTTTTAGAGGAGTAATCCTTTACCCCTTTAAATACAGAAAAGCTGCAGGGAGTCATTTTGTTACACCAAAGCATTGGTGTCCACCAAAGGGAACTTTGCAAAGGTGATGTTTGTATTGTGTGAGTGTGCTGGAATAAAGACTGGTCACCTGCTGACTGGCCTTCCTGGGACAACAGAGCATTTTCCAAACAAGACCAGGTGCTCACCTCTTGAATGGGATTCAGCCTCTCACTGTCCTGGGGAAAATGAATGAAGACTGAAATGGAAAGAGCAGAATCAGAAGGAGTTCACACATAAGCTGAGGAGCTTTTTTATGTAGGGCACTATGGACACAGAAAGTTGTATGGGCTCAAGAACTGTTTGAGTAAATGCTTGGTAGGGAGCTCCGTTCAGGGATATTAAACTCAGACACACCATCTCCAACCCAGGAAGTCTCTGAGCTGCAACCTGCTGAGTCTGTGAAGTATTTAGGAGAAATATGACAATCTGACCTGGTTTTGTACCATCTGTAAGCTTTTGTACTTTGCACTGTTGGAGGCAGATTTCTTCTTCTTTGTGGAGTTGTTATCTGACTCATCTGCTTGTAGAGGCATTCTGTGGGAGTCACAATGGTTTTGCTTATCCTGCTTTATTGGTCCCTCCTAATAAGTCAGAAATCATCCAGGCAATGGTCTGAAGGTGAAAGAAAATGTTCAAGAGCAAAATCGCCTCAAATCATCTTCAGTGAAACAGAGCTGCCCAGCCAGCCCCTGCTGTTTGCTATCACAGACATCCAAATTTAGGAGACGTGGGCATGTTTAGTCATTGACCACAGGCACGGCACAGCGTGGGCTGCTAAAACTGACCTGAAGTTGTTTGCCTTGCAGGATATAGGAAGGAGGGCTTGGATTGAATATCGTTGACTAAG